TGGAAGAACGAGGCCATCCGTCGCTCGGTTCTCCAAGACGCCCTCCCCAACCTTCTTCTGGGGAAGATTGGTCTTGACACCATCATGGAGCGTGTCCCCGACTCTTACCTGCGCGCAATCTTCGGCAGCTACCTCGCCTCGAGGTTTGTCTACCAGTTTGGCAGCCAGCCTAGCCAATTTGCTTTCTACGATTTGTAAGCTACCCTCAAATTCTCAACCAAACGATGTGTGACTAACCCTCTCTTAGCATGGCCAAGCGTATGGCGAGTATCAAGCAGTGATCTCATTTTCGATTGCTTATGAATCAGGCGCGTTTCTGTTTTCCATGCATGACAACGGTTAGGAGACTTGGATAAATATATTCGTGCTTCCTGGCATATACACGCATGGGCGGTGCGAAAGAAAAGAGAGCGAGAAAAAGGGTATTATGATATGGGCAAGAAAAAAAACTAAGCACAGGGTCACTGTCTACCGCTTAGATGGTGCGGATGAATTGCATACTAATAGGAGTTATCGGGCATGGTTATCAAATGGTATGAGCCTGATCGCCAAGATGATCACGGCAGTTATTCAATGAGACTCTTTTCTAAAAATCTCTGCTTGATGCTTTCCTAGTTTGATTTAGATGAAGCCGTTTCCTCGCCCCGAGCTCTATTGTCTCTGGGTGGCTCTTCTCCCCTCACTGTGACTGTAGCATACCCCAACAAACACAACACCGTTCTGCCGGTTCATGCTCGAGAGGTTGATACCGTGACGTTGTCCGAAAGGGGTGACGTGAGTGCATTCGACTTCACAATTGTGCTGATGATTGATAGCATAGTTCCGGGTAAGCTACCATGTCTCAGGTCAACCTTGGAATCCTTGCAGACGACGAAGATGGCCAGCTGTGGATTTTGGCCCAGGGCCCTACACGAAGAGAGTAGTGAACAAACGCGATCTAACTCTATGCCCCAAAAGACGAGAATGAAAACATCAAGAATACAGCAGATGTCGTCGAATGAAGATTCCATGTAAGTCTCGGTCCACGCCCTCTCACGCCTGTTGCCCTCCCCCTCCCTTTCCCCGGACCCCCGGCCTCCCTTCGACGCCATCGAACCCAATCTGTCGGGACAGCAACCGTGGCTATACGGTGCGTTCCGAGGACACGTCTTGGGACGGATGGGAGGGCTGTAAGTGCTGGGGGCTGGTAAATAGAGCGAGGCCGCAGGCGCGCATGGGGGTGTGTTCCTCGGTCTTCATTCTTATACATACACGCCCTGTCCATCACCCCCCACGCGAATCCCCGGAGATGAGGCGTTTGGCATTTTCCTCCGATGCGGGTGAGTCGATCCGGCTCGAGATCCGAGGATTCGGCAACGCCTTTTTTTTTTTTTAATTTTTCATTTTTTAATTCTCTAGTAGGACATCCAATCATGGTTTCTCCGCACCTGCAGCCAGATTCAGAGACTTACCAAAGCCGAGTGTCGCCAGTATGTATTGCTCATGCAAACGTCTTAGCCCCCTCAAGTCAATCATCTATGCACTGTTGATTCAGCTTTATTCTTGACCCTCTCAAACCCCCATTCTGTTCCCTATTCTTGGTTTCTAACTCTGCCCCGGTTCAGCCTTGACCTCATTAACGATTCCAGCAAGTATTCAACACATCTCTGAAATGGGAGCACGCAAAACAAAAAAGGGGGGGTGGTCAATTGTATAGGCGAGGAGGCTTAGTGCGTTTCGGCCCAGGCGCGGAACCATTGCAGGGCTTCGGGGTTGGCGACGCTCGCGTTCGTCTTGACGTCCATGCCGGAGAGGATCTGCTTGACCGCGACTTCGATCCTATTGTGCTATGTCAGCTTCCTCGGACCTCAATAATGTGATAAGAACCCCATGGGAAAGAGAAACAATTGTCGATGTTCTGGGCGGTCTCAATTGTTGATGAGACGAGGGGGCAAGGGCCCAAGAAAAGCGACGAAGCCCGCTGAGAGGGGAAAAAAAAAACGCCAAGGGGAAAAGGGTAAACTCACTTCTTCCCATTGCCCGTCTTGGGAATCCCACCACCAGCCTCCTCAATAACACCAGGAACGTGCCGCGGGCTCAGCTCCCTCCGAATAATGCTCTTGATCTTGGCCCGCAGCTCGTCATCAAAAGCGTGACCCGCGACCGGCACGACAAAAAGGCACACCGTCTCGTCGGCGTCGGTGGCGCGCCGTCTACCGACACAAACAGCGTCCTCGACCTCGGCGGCAAAGAAGCGCGTAAGAATATTGTAAATCTCGGCGCTGCCGAAGCGGACCCCTGCGGGCTTGAGGACGCCGTCGGAGCGGCCGAGCATGACGAGCGAGCCCGTGGCCGGGTTGGGGATCTTTACGAAATCGCCGTGGTGCCAGACGGCGCCCTTTACGCCACAGACATCGGCGAAGCGCTCGAAGTAGGCCGCCTTGTATTTCGCATCGCCGCCGGGGCCAAAGAAGGTTAGGGGTTGACAGGGGAAGGGGGCCACGCAGATGAGGTCGCCCGGGTGAGTTGGGTCTGGGAGAAGGTCGCCGGAGAGGGAGTCGACGGCGCGGATGGCCATGCCGAGGCCGGCGCATTGAATCTCGCCGACGCGGACGGGGAGGAGGGGGCAGGGGGCGCCGAAGAGGGAGATGATGTCCGTTCCGCCGGTAATGGAGGCGAGGTTGACCTTGGAGGGGAAGGCCTTGTAGACGAAGGAGAATGTGGAGGGGGGGAGGGGGCTGGCAGTGGAGTAGATTGCCTCGAGGGCGGAGAGGTCGATGCCGGGCTCGTTGACAGGGTAGACGGCGTTGGCCTCGAGCGCGGTTAGGTAGGCGGCGGAGGTGCCGAAGTGGGTTACGCGGAGGTCGGATAGGAGGCGGGGGAGGGAGAGGTGGCCATGGGGCTTGAAGGGGGAGCCGGAGTAGAGAACCAGCGTAGCGCCGACGGCGAGGGCGGAGACGGACCAGTGCCACATCATCCACGAGGTTGTGGTGTAGTAGAGCATGCGGGACTTGGCGGTGAGGGATCCATGCAGCGCGTGTTCCTTCTTGTGCTGGATGAGAGTACCGAGGGCGGTGTGGACGATGGCCTTTGGCAGACCGGTGGTGCCGCTAGAGTAGAGGATATAGAGGGGATGTGATGGGGGAAGCTGCTCAAATTTGAGAGGCTCATCAGGAGAGCTTGGTTGAGATGTTAGCGGAATGTAGTAGATTAAAGGAAGGGAGTGGTTGGGTGATAATATTTACCCTTGAAGGAACGACTCGTATTCATCGACTGCAACTCCGGTTGCCCTCAAGCCGTCGATGGCAAGATCGCAAGCGACGTTATTGATAACAATCACGAGCTCGAGGCCCTCTGACATCAGCGCCTTTACAATATCCTCCGTCTTATCGGTGCTGCTCCACTCTTTGCCGTTATACACGGTGCCGTTGTCGGCAAAGAGGACCTTGGGTCCGATCTGGGCAAGACGATCCAACACGGCGCTGACACCGTTGTCGGGGCTGATGCCGGTCCAGATGGCGCCTACAGAGGCAGCAGCGAGAGCGGCAATGATGGCCTGCACATGATTAGATACGAAGCCGGCAACAATGTCGTTGGGCTTGACGCCGTGAGCCCGGAGCCCGGCGGCGCATCGGCGGACGGCGTCTCGGAGCTCGGCCCATGTTGTGGAGACGGAGGGGCCGAGTTCGGTGGTGGTAATGGCTGCAACGGATGTGGGGTCGACAGCGATGTTGGCGGGGAACAGCAGGTTCTCGGCGAAGTTGAGACGGGTGCCTGAGAAGAAGTCTGGACGTGGGTACATGGGCGCATTGAACGGAAGGACCTAAGGGTGCCATTGGGCCGGATCAGCTACTGGTCTAGGAGGAAACTGAAGTGATCACGGGAGGGGCGGCACGGGCACCAGTGTAGGAGGGGTTGAGATGGGCAAATTGGCATTCCAGTAGGCCAGCAACGGCTCATGCCATGACTCAATTTCTCGGGGATGGTAGTCATGCGAAAGCTATATGCCATGGCCACGTAGCTGTCCGCCTCACTCGACGCAGTATCAAGGTTCTTGATGGGCGTCCTGGCGAGGGTTCAAGACACTGGTGAGGATGACATCGGCGATTGGTTGGTGACTCTCCCTCTTGTTGTTGGCTGTCTCTGGCACTTGCGTAGAGTTTGAGCCGTTCTCTCAGACTGATGTCACATAACCTCCTTCTTCGTCGCCTTCTGCCTCCAAATTGGCAGTCAAGGCGCGCTAAGCATGAGGACGGCAGTGGAGGAAGAGGTCGGGTTGAGTTGAGTTTGGGGATTTGACCAATGGCATTGGCCAGCGTACCTTGTCGAACGGCTTGGAGGCAGTGATGCCCACAGAATGCCAAACCTCCTCCCAGAACTCTGCCACGTTTTCGACGGACCACTTGTAGAGACCGGGGTAGTCTGCCAGTTCAAGGCCATACTTGGAATTCACCTGGAGGAGAAATGCCCACATGGGAGTCGAGGTGGGGTCCGGGTGCCGCCAGAGCTCGTTGCGCGTGACACTGGTGATAGTCATGCTGAGCGAGTTGGATGAATTGGAGATAATTGAGACGATGAGAGACGAAGGGACAGTCGGTGCTCGAGACGAGGCCAAGCCGTTGAGTATCACGGCGACGATGAATGACAAGTTGAGAGGGGGGGAGAAATTGATTTCGAAATTGTGTGCAGCAGCGCCAGAGTCCAGATTCCGGCCGGAGTGGAGGGAGAGAAGTTGGGCCGTCGCAATCCGAGGATGGATTCCGCAGGCAGATTCGGCAAAAGGGTTGAGAACGCAGCACCAGGCAGTCTGCTGTACCGGAGTCCGGGGGTGGGGGTGGGACCTGCTGCAACGCATATCTGCGAGAGCAAGCAGCTCGCCCATCCATCTTAGTCTGCTCAGGGCCTCAGTCCAGTGCCCAGTCAGTTCCCTTTCGTCAGGTACCCTCATGTCCAACTGACTGTGCTTCCGTTTCGAATTGGAGCTCGGTCATAGCTCGTTGCTCGCCTGTTCTGGCTAGCGGAGACCTTTGACGAACCTCGACATCTCAAACAGCACAGTTCGTGGACGCTGTGCTGAGGACGAGGACCGTGGTGACCTGTGCTCTATCTTACCTAAGGTAGCTAAGGTAGCCTTTACCCTGGTTAAGCTCAGGTACCTAATGTACCTGACGCTGTACCTGCCTTAGGTAAGAGACTGTTAGATCTGTAGACTGTAAATCGCAACAGCTGTAGACGCTGCCCACAGCCGCATGAGACCATGTTTGGCACACCTTGGCCAGGTCCTTCAAGGCTTCAGGCACTGGAGCGAGGCGTTCATGGCATTGCAACACAGAGACTCGCCCATTCCGCCCTGTGGCTGGTGCACCAATGCGCCCCCATCCCCTCGATCCGTCTTGTTGGACTCGATCAAGGTTGCGCTATCGCTGCCGCTTCATATCGATAAAAGTGTCCAAGCGGACTAGGAAGACGTCTCAGATCGGGACCCAATGCTGGGGAGAAGCCTGCAACTCGACGGGCCTCAATCAACGACGGTGTTGTGACAGCTCACACACTTTTACGGGTATACCTTGTTATACAGGTAAATAAGCACAACAGACGGCACATTGCGTCAAAAGTTATTGGCTGCCCCAACTTCCTCAGTATGATAATATGGCGGAACCGCACCACGCAATTCGGCCGGCGGAGAGATCGAGTTGGACAACTGATGCCACCAAGCCAAGGCCTCGGGAGGGTAGCCGTTATCATGTTGTGCGTTGCAGATGAGTCGATAATTGAGGGATGTAAGGTCGCGGAGAAAACAAACGTGGAACAAAGAAGCAACGCCATGTCGTTGATGGACATTCCCTGAAGTCTTAAATCAGGTAGCCATTCGTGCCATTGCAGTCTAAGCTCCCTTCACGCCAAGGCAAAAGTCAACGGTCCAAAGGCGAGACATGCTCTGCGCCCCTGATTCGTTCGACACAATACCATCTAGTCATCCCAGAGGTGTGGTTGCTTTTCTCCTGTTTGCCTTTCGCAACGTCCTGCTCCCATCGTCAAAATCGTGGGCGCCCTGGGCACGCAGACTATGGTTAGGAGATAGGGCCGCACGTAGGAACTGTTCAGTCAGGTGAGTGCCTTGACTTGCTGGGATCAAGTCTGCCGCTGGACCGTCGGTGAGGCCGACTAGCAGGGCAAACGATGCTCCATTATGCCCATAGCACTAGCGCACGAGGGCACTGACAACAGCATTGAGTTGGGCAGAGATGGGTCAAGTAGCAATGTGCATTCTGTCGAATGCATTGCTGGAAGGACACGTCCAATGTGACTGTCTTGGTGATAAGGTCACTTTGAACCTTCTACGCTGGGCATCGGACGGCGTGAGTGTGAGGAGGAGGCTGTCGACGAATAACGGAACAAAGGGGTTCTATTGTGGGGTGCTTCGCTGGCTTCGCAAGGCTGGTAGGCGACTCGACTCTGAACCAAGCACAGGGCGGCGGGAGGTGGTGGTGAAGTTTGACCAAGGGCCGCTGAACGATGACTTGGGCGACAGGGTCCTATATTCGTAGTAATTGGTAGCCTGGGGAGAACAGGCTAACGGCCCTGGCCGGCAGCTCTTAGCCCAGCTCTTCCCGTCATGCACAACAGGGCTTGGAGTGTGGAGTACGGACAGTGAAAGCCTCGCGGGATCTGCAAAGGCTGGGTTAGGGCAGGATGCCGAGGGTTGCATTTTGCTGGAATGAACGGGTAGCGAAGAAACGGATGAGTTCGGATATGCCTCAAGGCAATGCCAATGCCAATGGCGGCATGGCCCAATGCCAGAGCCGTCGCGAATCCAGAGCATCCGAGACCGGGTGAATGCGGGATGTTGACGACGACGAATGCAAGGACAGAAATGTCCGGCCATCAGTCAGCGAGAGTCCGGTGCGTCCGTCTCGGCCGTGTCGTCCGGGCAGCCTGTCAGACTTCGATTCGCCCCTCCCCCTTTTCCCGCGCGTTATGGGTGCTTGCAGCTTGCAGCTTGCAGCTTGCTGCTTGGTGCGAATGGCTTAATGGATGGATGCCGAGTTGAGTAACGCGCCCCAGACGGGATTTGCCCAACAGCCAAGATCACATTGGCCGGGTGGAGTGGAGTGGATCAAGATGCACCGTGGTTCGGCCAGAGCAACGCAAAATGAGGTGAGTTGTTAGTCGTCGCGAAGCCTGGCCGGGGCATGGCAGACAAGGTTGTGATTATTGGTTGCGGTCGTTGCTTGGAGAAAGGCCCGCAGAGGGGTCTATCTCTTGGACATTGAGCGAAATCAAAGAATGAGGACGACGATGGAGGCAAAGCTGTAAGCCTCGCTCAACTGTCGGAGGCAAATTAGGCATTGGCGGTTGGACCAAGGGGCCAGTCAGTGGTATGCGCCTCGCTGGTGTGGGATATGTGCGCGTTCAAGAGAGAGATTATCGTGAATCCAGGAGTACGGATGTAGGCGAGGTAAAAGACAGACCAATTGGAGGCAAAGCAAGAAGGGGCCGTGCAATAGCAAGACGAACAGCGGGCAACCCGGAGCGGTCGGAAGACCAGGGGTTAGGAGCGGGAGGGAAAAAAAAAGAAAAGGACAAAAAGAACTCGAAGAGGTGTGCGAGGATGAGACTGGAAACGATCCGCGCAATTGAATTGATACGCGCTAACGGGGACAGAAAGGAAAGTCACTCGCATCACCGTAGGCGAGGCCCCATTCATCATCACATCAGGAGGGAAGGATACTTGGAGGTCGCACCCTGATGCACGCCTTCCGGATGTACCTTTTTTGATAACAAGCCGTCGTACTAAGGAACCTAGGTAAGGTCATACAACTTGGAAGGTACTACACAGCTGTAAGATATAGCCCGTCCACGAGGTAATCTTCCTCCTCATCGTGGATCTCTCTGCATTTACCGTATTGTTTTTTTTGCTTCCTCCCTCGTCAGGGTCATTGCCTTATTTCCCAACTTGTCCCTCTTCCTTCCTTTCAACATTCGTCTCTCTCCTCTTGCTCTTCCTTTCGAAATCCGTCACCTTCCCTCCTCCTGCCGCAGCGCTGCCTTCCGAACTGCCCGACAGCAGACCAATAGCAGGCCTGCAGCGATCGAAAAGAGGCCCAGGCACCACTTTGACGCCGTGGTACCTATACGCTCACTTTTCGCTGTGTGGGTACCTCGAGTCTCAATACCCAAAAGTCACCTCACTTTCAAGGTCATTACCTCACCACGGAGTCCACGCCCACCCGCACCAATTTTACCTGAAATCACGGTCCAATCCCGTCGCGCAACAGCCCGAAATCGATAATTTGCCTTTCCTCTTTCGCTCCCTCCATTCTCTTCCTCCGACTCCGACTCCTCGCATCCCCTTGCAGCTGTTACAAATTCTGCGAGAGCTGCTCGATTTACCACCCTTTGCCCTCTGCATCTTCTGTTTCCCGATCCTCAGATTTGCGGCAGCCCCAGGGTCCCAAGCTCCGCCGCCTGCTTTCTTCGACAACCACTCGCAATTCTCACCCTGAGCCACTACAGAGCCACGACCTCTTAATTGCATCCTCGTTGCTCTCCTGCGTCCCCCGACCCCTTTTCGCTTTCGCCTGCACAACTTCTTACTCCTCGCAACCTGTTCAATTGCAAAGCAGAGAAGCCGCCCAAGAGAAATAAATCCGTGGCTCTTCAATAACTGGGATTCCCTCGTACCTACCCGACATTATCTCCAACCTCCAACTTTCGGCCATTCAAGCAGCTGCTTACAGACTTTCCTGGTGAGTGATTGACCGTTGATTCATCATCATCATCTCGTCCGAACCAACCCAATCCGTGGCTCCGGGACATCGATAGCCTCTGTGGCTCCCTCAAGCGTGTTCTTAGCGCTTCCTTTGTGTCTAGTTTCGTGCTTCCATCAAACCTCCGCAAGAGGTCCGATGTGAGCCTTGGCTATTCGCAATTCTAGCGCGTCCATTTTAGTGGTCGCCTGTTTTGTCCATGCGACCACGGGTGCGCCACTGACACTCTGACCGACAATTTCTCTACTTCTCAAACCACCAACCACTTTCGTTATCTCTTCCACAACGTCCGGGCCACCCGTCAGACTTGCATTTCGTGCTGACCGATCCATTTTTGCTTTACAGCGCATCAATCCTCGGTTTTGTTAAGGAAACAGCATCGTCCTCGTTGCATCCCTCAATTCGATCTCCTCCTGCTCAATTGCAGACTTCGAATACCCCTATTTCAATTGCAACCGAGTCGTCCATAGACAGCCAAGCGCATCTCAGCAATGCCCCGTAGAATTGCGAATCCCTTCTCGAACGCTCATTCACCCACCATGCCGCTCTCCGAGAAGGAAAGGAGACCTTCTCGATCCGGCAATCGTCTCACCAACTTCTTCACCTCCCCCAAGGGCGCCAAGGACAAGGACCATCAGACAGCTCAGCAAGCTCTCCTAGCCATGCAGCAGCAGAATATTTCGTCCACCCAAATCACCCCCTCCACTATCTCTCTGCCTACAATTTCGCTCTCCACTGCCACCGCTGGCGAGCCCGACACCACCGACCCCCCCACGACCCTCTTCTCCCCCCCCTCGGCCGTCGAGACGGAGAAGAAGAGGCGCTTCGACGCTCAATTCGGCCCTCTCCTTCACCCTACTCACCGATACGTGAGCAAGTCCAACGATGGCAAGCCTCTTGACCCGCCCATCATCGATGAGCCGCCCTACTACTATATCCTCACCACCTACATCAGCTACCTGCTCCTCATTCTCTTCGGTCATGCTCGCGACTTCTTTGGCAAGCGCTTCGGCGACAAGAAGCATTACCAGGCTCTCAAGCCCCAAAATGGATACGCTCCCTTGAACGAGGACTTTGACAACTTTTACGTTCGCCGTCTGAAGATGCGCATTGATGACTGCTTCGCACGACCCATTACCGGCGTTCCCGGCCGCTACATTACCCTCATGGATCGCGAGTCCAGGGACTACAACAGAACTTACAACTACACTGGCACACATACCGAGACATTGAACATGAGCTCTTACAACTACCTTGGTTTCGCGCAGTCTGAAGGCCCTTGTGCCGATGCTGTTGAGGAATGCGTCAAGAGATATTCCCTGAGCACCTGCAGCCCTCGTGCTGATGTTGGTACGTCGGACTTGGCCCTCGAGGTCGAGAAGGAGATTGCCAGCTTCGTTGGCAAGCCCGCTTCCATGGTCTTCTCGATGGGTTTCGTCACCAACGCCAGCTCATTCCCCGCTCTCGTCTCCAAGGGCTGCCTCATTCTCTCGGACGAGCTCAACCACGCTTCCATCAGAGTCGGTGCTCGTCTGTCCGGTGCAGTCATTTCATCCTTCAAGCACAACGACGTCGTCGATCTAGAGCGAAAGCTCCGTGAGGCCATTTCTCAGGGCCAGCCCCGCACGCACCGCCCTTGGAAGAAGATCCTGGTTGCCGTCGAGGGTCTTTACTCTATGGAGGGAACAATGTGCGATCTACCTGGTGTCATGGCGTTGAAGGACAAATACAAGTTCTACCTCTTCATCGATGAGGCCCACAGCATCGGCGCCGTCGGACCTCGCGGTCGTGGAGTATGCGATTACTATGGTATCGACCCTGCCCGTGTCGACATTCTCATGGGTACCCTTACCAAGTCATTCGGTGCCAACGGTGGTTACGTCGCCGCCGACAAGAGCATCATTGACAAGTTGCGTAGCTCCAACGCTGCGACGACTCTTGGCGAGTCGCCTGCTCCTTCGGTACTCATGCAAATTCTGGCCTCTCTCCGTCTGATCACTGGCGAGCTCTGCCCCGGCCAGGGTGCTGAGCGCTTGGAACGTATTGCCTTCAACTCTCGTTACCTTCGTCTTGGTCTTAAGCGCCTGGGCCTTATCGTATATGGCCACGATGATTCCCCCATCATTCCCGTCATGCTCTACAACCCTGGAAAGATGCCCGCCTTCAGTCACGCTATGCTCAAGCGCAAGATTTCCGTCGTTATTGTCGGCTACCCCGCAACGCCTCTTATTAGCTCGCGTGTCCGATTCTGCGTCTCTTCAGCCCACAACAAGGAGGATCTCGATAGGTTGCTGGCAGCGGTTGACGAAGTTGCCGACCAGCTTCAGATCAGATTTTCCACTGGTGTTGCCGGCGGCCAGGAGCCTCTTCCCGAAGGTATCACTCCCGAGACAGAAGCCGAGTGGCGCAAGGCCAACGGTTTGGAGGGTGCCTACAAGGCTCCTCGCTGGAAGCTCGAGGATGTTATCGCTCGCGGAGTCCAGGATGCCAAGATGCGCCTTCGGTAAAAAAAAAAAAACAGCCCTCCCAAATGGAGCTGACAACAAAAAGATTCACGACTGTTCGGACCTTTGGATCTGAAATTGACGAGACGCGGACTGGACGGAACGATGAGGCAACGTCTCAGGTGGAAGAGGGAGTTTGGTGCCCTGTACTCAATTCTGCCGGCTTCGACCTAATTGCATGATACCTGTAATATCAACTGTCGAGTGTCTTTTATACCTTGATTGGGGAGCCTGCATGGCCTCGGCGTTTTTGGGAGTAATGATCGGAACAGCGAACGATTTCATGTGCCACGGCACCGTACCAACACAATTAGTACTATTAGGCTCTCAAGAGCTGAACAATATAGATGACAACTAAGGTACCTTAGAGTAATGGAGATGTCCTTCATTGGAGATCAGAAATACGATCTTCTCAGTGAGCTCATCTACTATAATTATATGTAAAGGATGCGTGTCTGTCAATTTTCACACTTGTAGAGTGTGCCACTTGTTCAGGTGCTAGGAATTGGGTTAGGGAATAATGAAGTCGTACTTGAGCTAATGGTTACGTTCAAACACCGCAGCTGTACTCAGACAGCAGGACGATCTCAAGATATTACGCATGATGTTTATAGAACTTGCTACCCCCTTAGTATGTTACCTAACAAGCTGCATCCTAATCGGCATGGGGCCGGCGTTGCCACCTTAACTATCTTGAATGGACTCTCAATAAGCTCAAATTTGAGTAGACTGTACAGAGGATAGAGTATAATTCTCACGACTGGCAAAATCACTGGAGAACAGTGGGTTGACAAAAGTAGCGGGTGACAAATATGGTTGCGCTCAATTCTAAGCTCAGAGATAAGCTATAATACATTATGATCCCAAGGCAGCTAAAAGATATTATTCTACTTCTGTCCGGGGTTGGGCAAGGTTGGGTATAGTTTTGCCGCTGGTTGGGTTCGAAGTAACAGCAGGGAAGACATGCTCGAGTGAGGTAAGGGAAGCCACTCTTGAATTGTTATATTGACAGTGACTTCAGCCCTGCCGTGGGCAAATTGCGGGAATACCGCCTTGGATCTTCGTGTGTTCATGCCTCAAGTGGGAGGAACTGTATACATGTATAGAACCAGATGTTCCCCATAGAATTCAGAACTTTATCAAAGGAGGCGAGGCAAGTTCACCTCCGTCTGTCCAATTCTGTACAAAGTCGATGGAAGTTTCTCTGAATGAGCTTTCGTCTTTCCTAGAGCCTGCTATCTCACATCATACTCCTGTATCCCGATAAGATTTACTAGTGTTGCCGCGGCATAGCGACTCCTTAGGTCAATGACAAGGAGATGAACATTTCCGTTACCGCAGCTCGCCCTCAGAAACGTCTCTCTGACATGTAAACGAGATACCCTCAATAGACTCGTAATCACCGACCGGACACTTCATTCTCATATCTCTGCACTCAAAACACCCTTTAGTTTGGATTATATTCAGAGGTCAGCAAGTGTTGCCGCGCGTATGCCTGGCAAAGTTGTCTGTCAAGACCCGCTGAGAGATCTGAATGAAGGGTGCTCCTCCCCTCAAATATTATCAATCCAGCTACTCCACCCCCCACCTTTCACATCCTCCACCCAGATTGAAAGTGAAGTCTCTCGCTATTGAATTACTTCCTTTGCAAGCTACTTCCACAACCTAAGGAGCACTGCCACAACTCTGCCCACGGCGCAGTGAAGCCGCTATCGACTTCGCCCATGAGCATCCGACTCAACACTTACTTGCACCTGCAAGTCTGATGTCAGTTCTTCCCGTCATATACACTATTGAGCGGACCGTCCAAACGTATCCATTACGCGAGGCGCCAGTGGCCTGGCTAATGCACTCAGCGGGCCACTTAGAGCCACCGTTGCACTTGGAAGGGCAGCCGCCAGCACTGAGGGCGTTGTCAAACAACTGTTTGCCGTCTACCAGTCAGCGTCATTGCCCGCTCAAAACTATGGACGAGAATTCTGGTAGAATGGATGGGGTCTGTAACGTACACAACAGTGGCTTCTGTCCTCGTACTTGTACTGGTATCAACCGGGCACATGCCTCGGAGCTAGCGAGGAAGGCTAGGAAGGCGACGGCGGCGGAAGATGATGTGGACGATTTTGTGAGTTGTTTGGAGTTAGTGGTGGTGAGAAGGCTGGATTCGCTGGTTTGGATGTGAATCTTGATGTTCTGTGTTGAAATTTTCTTGGATAGACGTGGAAGAAGCACCTGTATTTACATTCGGTCGAGACTGCTCCAAGACAACTACGTTCTCCAAAGCCGCCGGCAGGATTAATCAACGAGAAGGTCGAAATGAAGCATTCGTCACTAGACCTTTGGTGAATACCCTCAAACCTTCCGTTACGCGTATTCAATCTAAGTTACTTACTTGTGTCGAGAATGAGTCAAAAGCCGGCTTCTTGCTATTGTCTATACCCCATATGCCCCTAGTCATCATGAAGGTGTCCCAGGAGGCAGGCTGTCGGCGTCGACGCCCATGTCCGCACTAGACTTAAATCCGCGTCCGGTCCTATGCAGAGAACCTATTCTTATTGTGAAACCGCTCAGATGACTTCGAGAGAAAACCTGTTGAGTCAATGTAAGCAGACCTTAATTCGTACTCCATTACAGGTCTTGGCGGTTTTCCGGGGACGCAGCCGACGGGATGAAGTTGGATGAACAATTAACCAGTTCAGACGGACACTGAGTGCCCCGACAGTACGGAGGACAGGGAACGGACAGGATCTGCGGGAATAGTGGAGTCTCCTGGGGTTCTTCAAGGAGTCTAAGTCGAGTGGCTCGATTGGGTTCACGATCATGGGGTTTGTAGGTGCCCGGGCCTGAGTGTTGTTTGACCTCCCGATCAAGCTTTCATAGTACAACGTCAATCTTTAGTAATTTGATTGTTACATTGCCTCCTATTGGCTACCATACGTCCGACTCCCGTGTTTGAATCATCAAGTAAAGATATCCTCACAAGCCTTCTCGGACTTGACTAACAGAAATGACTATTCCATGCATACAATCTCTCCCTTCAACGTCAACCCAAATCCTCCCCTCCTCAAACCTCGCCCGCAACCCGTCACGCCCACGATACACGACGCTCCCATTCACATCCACAATCGCATCCCTCGCCCTCACAGGGACACCAACAACACCCTTCGTCCCCTCCCCAGCCCTGATGACGACCCTAAACTGCCGCCCATCCCCATCCCCGAAGTCCTCCCACTCGACCCCGATCCCGTCCCCTTCGGGCGTCGGCACGACGCCCCTCGCCCACCGCAACCCGCTCACCTCCGGACTGACGCTCCACGTCCGGAATCCGGGCCCCGTAGGCCTCACCCCGAGGACGTGCCCGCTCATCAGCGGCACGACACCCGTAGACCACCCGTGCGCCATGCTCGTGAATCCATCTTCGTACGGCCTTCCCCCGGGCCCGATCCCCTCCCAGAACGTCACACGAGGATCTTGATTCGACATCCACCCATATAACCTCTTCATCTCCTCCACCGCCGTCTCCCCGACCCCGGACGCGAACCGCGCCGCCATCTCAAAGTAGGATATGAAGGCGTACACCCTCTGACTGAACTCCTCGCCCACCGCGTCCGAGTCGTAAAACGCGTTGCCGTAGGTTCTCGACGCGGCACCTGCATAGTACCCCAGAATCCCCCTCGCCGTCTCCGTTCCAACAACGCCCGCGAGGATAGCGATGCTATTCCCATCTTGCGCATGCGCCTCCACAAACGACCCGTCCCCGCCCGTCCCGTCCCAAAACGCCCCGGCCGCCCCGTCGAAATTACGCCTGGCCAGCGCCTCGGCAACCTCGGCCGCCCTGGACCCCCACCTCTCCGCGTCCCCTTCCTCCCCAACCTCAGCCGCCATCTCCGCCGCCCGCCGCAGCGCGAGGACGTACAGCGCGTTGTAGTACGTCACGGGCCCCTGCCTCGGCAAGAAAGCGTAGTCCCCATAACCCGAAGTGCCGTTTAGCCCTTTCGTCACGAGGCCCGTCTCCGGGTCCGTGACGGAGACGTACCACCTGTCGAGCACGGCAACGAGGTTGGCGTAGTAGGTCGAGACGTATCCGACATCGCCCGTGTACCAGACGTAGTCGTGGCTGCAGACGACCCACCAGAGGGGGTAATCAAAGAGGGCAAGCGTGTAGTTCATGCTTTTAGCCCGCCCGAAAAGTTAAAATCCAAAGTGGCCTTTTACAAATTTGAACGGATAAGACCAAAAAAAAGGGGGGAGGGAGGGAATGCTCACATGCTCGCCGGCGGAATCCACCCGTCACTCCTCTGATGAACCGCCAAATCTACTAACACATTCCTACTCGCCTCGCTCAACACCCCCTTCCCATGAGAAACATAGCCCGTCAGCGCCGCAACCGCAAGGTCCCCCACGTACGGGTCCCGATCCCTCTTCGGCGCGTCGTGAATCACAACATTTCCCTCGAGCGTATCGCTCGCCGCGCCCCGGGGTTCCGCGTCCTCCGCCCCGCGGAACGTGTCCACGCACAAGTCGTTGGTGTACACTCCATCGAACCACCACTGCGTGAGCTCCTCGTCGCTGCACTCGAACCAGCCTCTAAAAGTGTCGGGCGTGCCGTGGTACGCTGAGAGCTCCAGGGACAAGGACGAGATATTGACCTGGCCCTGGGGGACTGTGTGCGGCGAGTCCGAGGGGAGGGCGTCGAGGTATATGCGGATGTACCGGAATCCGTGGAGGCCGTCTGCGCAGACCTGTCCCTTGCCGTCTTCACCAGGGTACTGACACCCGTGTTTCGCAGTCCAGACGTACGCTTCTTCGCGGACTGCGATCTGATCGCTGCCCGGCGTGATCGTGTCCCCATTATATGAGCGCGAAAAGTCGCTGACGCTGCTCAAGAACTGCAGTGTCTCGGAGAAGGCCAGCCTGATTCCAGGTCTGCTGCTTTGGTCCTTTCTCTTACCTTCATGCCCTACGGTTCCATCCGCAGCAGAAGTAGACGACCCGGCAAAAGAAATCGAAATAATACCTACAGTGTTTTGTCCAAAGTCGACCGTAATGGAAGGAACGTCATCTCCCGCTGTGCTACGAGCAAATACCGTGGGCCCGCCTTCGCCGTCGATCAAGCCCGAAGGGTTGGCGACGTCGCCGCGGGTCAGGTCGGGGATCACCTGCACAGGGTAAATCGTCCTCGACTTGCTGGCCCGAACGTACTGGTACCAGCTAGGCGGCTTACGGAGAGGAGATTCATGGAGAGGCGGGCCTCTCCAATCGGGGGCTATGAGATCCCATTGGCCGGTTACAAATGCGAAGAGGCTTGTCCACAAGTTCTGCATTACGGCGGCGTCATGAGTGTAAGTAGAGGATTTGCCGATGACGCAGACCGACTGCTGAGGTATTCAATCGTCAGTTGAATATTAGGTATGAGACTGCTCAACACCAATGAGCAACGTGCTGTAAAGAGGTGAATGGAAAGGTAAGAGTCTGAGTGAACTAACGAATCAAGGAGGATTGAGGTCGGCGTGGGTGGGAATGCGGGGTCCCGGCGCTTGCCCAGAACGGATGATCTACGAACGGCAGTTAGCTGGAGGCTGGACCCATAATTCTGGCTCCGTGCGGATCGTGGCCGGTGACAGGGACTCGATCTCATCTTGCATTTTCACCTTGAACCAGTTTCAACCCCACTACATAAGGCGATGTGCATTGCACCTCCAGCTATCACGCCGTGCTTCCGAGGCGGTATCAGGAATACCTCCTCAAGTCGCGCTTAGAAGTTTCACACCTCACAATGTCATCTCCTCAACAGTTACAGCAAACAGTCCTGGTATCTGCAAGACAGACAACCAAATGGTATTGACAGCACTGCGTCTCATCTGCCTCTATAGTCTCGATGCCATACCAGCGGCGCGAATGACAATCCCGATGCAAAGTATTCATGCCCATGTCACGACGCTTTCAACAGGCGTCGTGTTTCTAAACAAAAGGAGGAAAAGAAAGAAGAAGAAAAAGTGTCGAGGTGGCAAAAGACACCCCGTGAAGACCTTGGTATGTCCACGCATCTCAAGAAAAAAGTAACAACTGCGAAATCCATACGCGCGCGCGAAGTATCCATGGCGCTAAGGTTCATATCAGCGACCATGTTTCAATGTGTCGTCCATCAATCCGTAAACCTTCTCAATCCCACCGCCTGTACCAGGACGCCGACAAAAAGCCAAGAAAGGTATTTTACACTTTCGCTGTCTGTTAAACATGATGATCATAAAGAGGCCTTACACAGTGCCTCGAAGTCTTTGCTTGCGTGCTAGCCAGTCACCAAGCATGTTGTCAAGTTGCTATACAAAGTTAGTATCAAAGCCAAGAGAACCTCCTCGAGATTTCGACTTACAGTCGTAATTTCCGCTAACTTGGCATTTTGTTCGCGGAACAAAGAGCCTGCAACGGGGTGTTCCGGCCCAGCAGGCGCCACATCGCTCTTGTCGTAAACAACGACCAGCATGTCTCGTATATCCGAGCTTGAATCGAAGAAGGCCCGAAGCTTTGCGTCATTCCAGCTGCTACCAGTAGTGCTGCCACCCGTGGACGTCGAGCTGGCAGTCATCGAGTCTTGCGCGCGATGTCTGCCTGCCTCCTCAGCATCAATGAGCTCTGGCGAAGGCGACGTCGAGTGGCCTTCTTGACTGGAAGTGTCCACCATGAGCGCAGGAGGGTTGCGCGAGGTGACCGGCGACACTTGCACGGGAGATTCGGAAAGTCTCTCCTTTTGGCGTTCCACAGCGGTGGGTTGCGACTGAGGCTGTTGAGATTGCGTAGGAGTAATTGTCTTGTCAGTCTGGGCGCTAGCACCACTAATGGAGCTCATAAAGCTGTCAGGGAACGCTCCAGGCAAAGGTCGTTCCAGTTTCTCCTCTCTGACAATCTGGTGCGCTTGCTGCTGCACAGGTGGCTCAGCAGGTTCAACCTCTTCCCCGGAAGAGTCAAAGTCATCAAGCTCGACGCGAGACTTGGCCTTGGTGACCTTTTGCGGCTTTGGTTCGCTATTGCCACTCCTCGACGGCATGATCTTGGATAGCGTCGACCTTTCTTGGGGTGGTGACCGAGTCGTCTCGGGAGACTTGATCCGCTGCTGTTGACCGGAAAGCTCCGGGTCCGATGAATCATCCTCGACGATGCGCATGGAAGCAGGAGGCATGTTCGAAACATTGTTGGGGCGGCCTTCAGAGGATATGAATTCGGAGAGTTCCCTGGTGGCAGACTTTTGCGGCGTCGCAGCCCCGTTGTTCCTCGCAGGAGACGGCTCGACTCTCGGCTGTTGCTTCTGCAGCTTGCTGGGGTTCCGTTGAGGGCCATCGCCTCTCGGGGACAACGGTTCCTGAAGCTCCTCTTCCCGACTCTCACGGCTCTCGCGGCTCTCCCGGTCTTGAGATTCTGTAACAGTGTCCATCGATCTCTTGCCGAAAGACTCATCGTCGTCGTCCGTAGTCTTCTTCTTGTCCTTACGCGAGAAGAAACTCCGAATGGTGCTCGTCTTCTTTTCCTTCTCCTTCTTGTCCTTCTTCTTCTTGTCTTCCTTCTTATCCGGCTGCAGCTCCTTGTCCATCTTGTCCAAACTTGGTCGTTGCTTGACCTGGACACTTTCCGTCGTCGAGGGTCGCGAGCCGCTGTCATCACGAAGCAAATTAGGCGTAAGCGTGATCTTCTTGGTCTCGACCGTTTCGTCCTTAAAGAAAGAGTCGGTATTCCTGACGGTGCCGTTCCTCGACCTGCTGGGACCTTCTGGCTTCTCAAAGATTTCGCCGCTGTCGCGTTTCGAGTCGTCCTCTGATGCCTCCTCTTTCTTAGTCGGTTCCGCAGCGTTCACCTCCTTCGTTGTCCTTGGCTTCAGTGGTTCCACCTTGGCCGTGTCGTCATCCATAGTTTCCTCTGTCGATTGTTGCGATGTTTGTTGTGATGTTTGTTGTTGTTGCTGCTGCTGCTGCTGCTGTTGAGCACCCTCTTGTTGAGACAAAAGCTCATCAACTTCATCCTCGTCAGACGAGTAATCATAGTCAGAATAATCGACAAAAGTCGGTGCGGCGAACGCGACCGTCTTCTTTTTCTTCCTCAGAGCAGTTTTGAAAGTGCTTTTGGACTTTTCTCCAGACTGATCTCCGAGCATTGTAGCGGAAAGCTGATCTAAGTCAGAAAGGTTCATCTCTTCCATGGAGGGAGCGACTACGTCTATATTCCTGTGCTTGTTCAAGCGCGCTAATCTCTCGGTTGGCGTCTCAATGTGCTCTGCCGGCAGATAGCCTATTGTTCATGTAAGGAGCTGCTCTTTGAACAACGTTCAAACGGACCTTACCAATGCTGCTGTCTTTCACCACACGGACCAGCCACCAATAGCTGTTGCTGTCATCCAGCAATACCATGGTGTCGCCCTTGGTAGCATTCGCTTGGCCTTCGACAGTTGCAACAAAGGTGTGCAACGCATAGACGAATTCGAAATCGATGTCCTCTGCTTCGTGTAAGCACTCGTTGCCCCAACCGCAGGCAATATATCTAGAATCATCAATAAGAGAAACATCGCCGTCATCATCATCTTCTTCATTGGAGGGTTCGTAAGGAATCGTAAGCGGGATGCCGTCGTCGTCGAGTCCACCAACTGCTTCGTCTCTCTCTGCCCTCTCCATCTCTGCACGCCGCTGAGCAAAGTCGTCGTAAATTGGTTCCCCAAATTTGCGCAAGCGAAGCGGACTAACCACAATGGGCCCATGCTGTGCGACGCTCTGAATACCAAACTCCGCTGTATGATTCTCGTCGTTTTCGTCCTGCCAATCACGCTCGTCGTAACATTCATCGCAGTGTTGCTCGTTGTCGCAGTATTCGTCAGTTTGCTGTTCCTCGTCGTATCGGTCGTCGTCGGTCGCATTGCGATCCTATCCGGTATACTCACCGCGAAGATGATGACGGGTGTATGAGCTGGCAGAAGCCTTGCTATGCTGCCAAGAGAGGTGTGCTGGAGGGTATTCAAGGGATTCGGTATAAGGAGAAGAGGACCTTGCCTCGATAAACGAAGGGGAAACGGGGGTGCCGCGATCTCTTATGGCGGGTAGAGAATCAACTCTTCGCGGCCAAGATGGCGGAGGCAAAATCGAAGTGCACCCACCATCTTCAATCGAGGGGGAACTCGAGATCTTGTCCATCATGTCATCGTCGTCCATGCTCTCGTCGGTGTCGTCCATGTTTCCGTCGTCCGACACGCCTCCGTTTTGTGCGACAGCCAGCGCATCTTGCTGCTGTTGTTTTTTGCTTGCGTCGTCCATTGTGCCACCAGTGAGCTTCCTGGAGACGTCTCCCGCGAGATCGTCAGAGTCGGAGATATCGTCGTCGTCGCCGGCGTGGGTCCAGGACAGCCTCGGGCTGCGTGCTTGATCTTCGGCGGATTCCTGGGCGACTTCTCGAAGAGTCTCGGCCTGGTGCGGACCAAATGAGCCGTTGGGCGCCCTAGAGTGGTCTTTCGCTGACGGTGCGTCAGGATTTTGCAGATCGATGGTGTCTGTGAATGCGACAGAAGAGGCCAATGGTCAGCGTGACATGTCAAGCAAAGGAGCAACAGCTGTCGAGTGTTTTTTTTTTTTTTCCCTCTTCCTCTGGCCAAAGGGGGGATGGGAGGAATTCTGTGAGATTGATCGTCCGCGGTTCCAGCCGTTAGACCAAGACGGGTTCAGACTAGAGCTCAGACACAGAAAAACAAGGGCCAAGTAGGATAGGGGGAGTTTGTGTTTGGGGGGAGAATTAGTGTGGTGCGATAGTCACAGTAGGAATGGGCAGCAGGCGCAGTTGTTTTGGGTCGCATAAACTTACCAGCGCGAATAATGTGAGGTCTCGTCATGTTGAATCAAGGTCGTGGGCCAGCACAGCCAGCCGAGACGGTTGTGGGAATTGTGATTTTGTGACGGGATTGCTCGAGTCGTGAGAGTGCTATGTGAGTGCGGCGTACAGTCGTGTGCAGTGCAGAGGTCGTTCCGTTCACAGTTCCGTCTGAATTATTTTTCCTCTGCGCTTCACGAGCCAGTCCCCTTCGGACCCGTCAGTTGGTAGGTTGGAGAGACCCTGGTCGGCAGACGACGTATGGACGACGGTAGGGAAGTGTATCATGGAGCGAGGGTGCCAGAAAAGCTGGGGCGGTAGGCAATTGCTAAGAAAATGGTATGGGCGAAGCGTGGTCGGGTCTGGAGAAGGGAGGTGTTACTGTGTACTGTGTAAGCCAGAGGTTGGCGTCGGCGTTGGCGTTGAACGGGGGTCGAAATTGCGACCCCGCTGTTTCGTCGGCTGGACAGGGACGCCAGGCTGGGTTCTAGCGGCGCGCGAGATTGCCGTCGGGGCTGCCAGGGTGCGGCGTCACGGCGGGAAGAGGGACGATGATGAAATGGTTGGACCAGGTTTTGCGATGGTGGTGGAAGAGGGATTTCCCAAGTTTGTGGGATTTCGGAGCGGATGAGGTAGATGCTCGGCGGTCGTCGCCAGTACGGCCCGTTGATTGGCAGACAATCAAGCGATGCAGTGAATTTGTACTCCGTAGAGACAGCTGGCCGGATGTCGTGTGCTCAGCCAGGCAGGGGCAGGCGCTGCTTGGTGAATGGCGGTCGACCAAGGAGGGGCGGTTGGCTTGGATGGCTTGCTGGACTGGGCTGGCAAGGAGCCGGCTATGAATAGAACAGGGAACGGCGCAGTGGGCGTAGGAGGCGAGGCGAGGCGAATGCTGTATCTGTACCTAATAAGGCGAGTCGTAAGGCGAAGGGATGCGAGAGAAAATAATCAAAAGGAGCGACAAGGGCTGAAGAGTGAAGGGGGACGGAATGGTAAGTTCAGCAAGTTAGATACCTAGCCAAACGGTGGAATTGATGTTGGACCCAAAACTGCCCACGTTGCTGGTTTCGGTAAACGTCAAGCCAGCAAGGAAAAGAGAGAAGAGATGGGGACAAGGAAGTGGGAGAGATGTCTTCAAAAGTTTGTTTAGTTTGTGTGCATGTGTGTGCGAGCTAATATTTAGAATCTGATGGAGCGACAGCCCGGGCGGGATACCTCTGGTAGGGAAGGAGGGACGGGATGCGCATCTAGCACGGGGGAGACGGAGAAGAATCAACCAACAAAAAAAATCGAGCTTGCCAGGTCCGGAGCCCCTTTGCTGTGCTGCCGCCGCTAAAACAGCCCGAATTCAATTTCATGCGTGAGACGCTGCTGCAGGAGAGACGACCAAAGATTGGGTACGGATAAGGTAGACTGTGCGGATAGGCATGAGGAATCGAACTATTCCTCCCGCGCGCTGCCGTGATAGGTGATACTTAGGTGCAGATGCAACCTGGACACCTTATGTTGTGCACACCACACCCATAGTTAGGCACTGGTGTCACTACTAAGCAGGCAAGATACGTTCACATTCAGGGGAATCGGCATGTCTGCCCGATGCCACCGTGTCTTGCTCTCTCACAAGCATCATACGCCTCTTTCCCTCCTCGGGCTGTCGATGCATCTTCAAAAGTTTAGACTGTCGAGAAATGCGGCAGTGGAATACTGTGGGAGACTCGATACCCTGGGAGATGTTTGGCCGGGGTTTGTGGACTTGAAACAACGGGGAATCGACCAGGGCCACGACGCGTTCCACCTCAGGACTCAGGTGTGGAATACGTACTGTGACACAGAGCACACCAAGAAACGTATTCTGTTCAGCCAGTCATTTTCCAGGATGCCAGGCCCTCTTGCCGGCTAACTCACAGTTCCGTCCTCTTTCGCCCGCCGTCAGGAACTTCAGCAAATGTCTTCGTCTTCCCAACTCTTGCTACACCTCTTTGCTTCTTCTGTGCATCTCTCCTGCTCCTGAAGCTGCTGTCTCGCACACCCGCACTCCCGCTCCGCTCTCTCTCTCTCTCTCTCTCTCTCCTTGACATTGCATCACAGTCCGTTCGCTGTTTACGCTTGGTCGACCGTCTATACAATACAAAATACCGTTATCGGAGACCAGGTCTCTTAGTCATATTCCCTGCACCGGAAGAATACCCGTCAGTGTTAGTCAACGTCAAAAAAGGAGGTCTGGCCCTGGCCCCTGGGCGGGAGGGCATTAAGCTCTCGGGCCTGGTCTCTGGGTTCTGGGACTATTGGGAAAACGGCCATTCGCATTGGCCAACTTAGGGGGATACCTTCAACTTGCACACGAGGAACCCGACCTCTCGTGAGCATCATTTGTATCTTCTAATCCGGCTCGTTGACTTACCCACCTTCAACGCAACTTCCGACCTCCCACTTCCACTAACGCATGGTCCACCTCATCATCATCCGGATTCAGGTAAACAACTCACTCCCACGAAATGAGCCGAAATGTTGTACCAATATGAGGTACGCCTTTGTCATGCTTCCCATTGCCTAAGGTAGGTAGGTACTCCCAATCCGCCGGTTATGGGATCAAGCCGGACCCACTGAACTCTCATTAGACGAGCCCATTGCCAGTTGCTACCAGTGTTCTTGGCAAAGTCGCTGCCGTTCTGTAGGTACTCGCTCACGCATCGAGAGGCGTTCCCGGCGTCGATCTTCCAATTCGGAGACTGTTCTCTGCCCGTCTCCCGTCTCCGGCGATCGACATCACAGAGGATTCCTCTCCTCGTCGTCTGCTCGTGAATCTTTGTCTTCACTCCGTCAACCATCCAAACAACGACCGCCACCACCGCTTACTTTGCGTCACAGCTGCTGGCCCGCTTCGATGTGGCTCATCCCAAACACTAGATAGCCACATAGCCAAGGTAGCTCACTCACTCAGTCCCCTCAAATTCGCAAACGGCGCCGCGTCGACCAAGAGCCTCCAGATCCCACATATGGCGTCGACAGCGCTGACGGTGGCTTGCTCAGCTTATTCGGACCCGAGCCCTATTACAAGTCCCCCGCCAGGAAATCCCCTATTGAAAGACCTATTGGAAGCGAAGAATGTCAAGTAATCATTGTAGCGTGCCAATTGCTTCGCAACCACCATTCCAACTGCATCGCGTTCCCCTCAAGCGAATATGCCACTTTCGATATTGTACCACCGCACTCTACAGAGGTACCTTACCATCAGGATCCGCCGTCATCTCGCGGCTATCGTCCCGCTGTCTGCTGTGTACGCATTCAATCCGAACAGACCGCGGTCGCCCGCAAGAGGTATTTACATCGACCACTCAACTGGTACAAGAGGTCACGTCCTTACCGGCAACCCGTGCGGTACCTCCATCCCTCGGAAGCTTGTTGAGCACGAGCACAAAATTTCTCGCTCGCGTTTACGGTTGCAAGCGAAAGTCAATTCCCTCCGTCCGAAGTGTCAGCAGCGTATAAGTTGCGACCTCGCTGGAGCGCCAAGAAAAAGAAGCAGAAGATAACATTGCATCAGGGTAAGAGGAAAAGAGCCTCATCTGAAACCCAAGTTCTTCGGGACCGAAGACCCGGAGCCGGCGCGACGCTCATGCGGCTCGTCCCATCAAACTTGAGCGTCTTCGGCTCGTCGTCCCTTGTTCGCTCTCACGCATCCTCGAAGTGTGAGTATTTAAAGACTTAACCATCGTGATTGATGGAGAGGCGCCAGTCATCCGAAGCTCGGTCGACGAATATTTGATGCAGAGGAAAGACTTTGGATAGTATGGCTTGCAATGATTCATAGAATATGCACATCGCGGGGAGCGTGGAGTCCAAGCTCGGTGTTGCTCATCTGTCACGTCGGATACAGCGTGGGGGAAACAGATCATCCCAAAGCGAAGCACAAACTCGCCCGTACTTGGAAGCGGTTGTGACCGACAAACTGCAGTGAATGCCAAATGTCCACTCACCTTTGCATGCACAGGTGCCAGTGTCTCATCGACCTCATACCTTGGGGACAAAAGTAGACCAAACATGCTATTTTCAGGGGTTAAGATATGACAACCCGTTTCTCCCTGCGCCATGTCTCTCGGTGCCGAGACATGGCTTCTTAATTCACTCAGCGGTCAAGAGGCCATATTGTGAGCGTTCGGCAGAGAGGATTCATGGTGATGCGTGGAATACTTGACCTTGGTATCAGGATACGAAATGGGACATTGACGGACACCGTCCTCCGTCCGAACTACTAAGCTCGGCTGCTTCGAATCTGCAGCCTGCCACGACTTTGTAACGTCGTGGCGGCTAATGATCTCAACGTCTGAGCACACATGAGGGTCTATCGGCCTGGAAAGCCGATAGAGCATGCTGTCATTGACTCTTCAAGATGACCTTGCGTCTGGCGGCCGTTGAAAGGGAGATGTGCCGGAGGTTGATCCCTGCACATCGGTCATCAGGGTCACGGAGCGAGGGGATCAGAGCACAACGCCTGGCATCGCAAGGATTCGCGGGCGGGTGACAGCTCGATGAAGTCGATTGATCTAAATGCCTCCCGTGTTGGAGGCTGATCTACACAACAGTGTCTCCAGGGAGGAGGACGAATTGGCCGGTACATGTGCGTTTCGCTGCGTCCAGCTCGTGTCATTACGACTGTATGTTGCTGGGCGGCTTTGACGCAACGTCCATGGGATGGGGGATGAATTGGTTAGGAAGCCAATAGTACCTCAGAGTACTTTAATAACACAGTTGAAGTTGGATGATGGCCGCAAAGCCAGGTGGCATAGACTTGCTCGCGAAATACCGAGCAGAAGGGAAGAATGGCATGACTCCAGATTCAGTAAAGATTTTCTGGACTTATCGAATGACAGAATTAAGCCGCTTGCATGGAGAATTCCGACATTTGCTACGCAGTTAAACGGTGTATTCTTTGTATGTACTGTTCTTGATTTCACCGGGATGGGATGAAGCGACATATGACGTGGCACTGCAATAGTACTGTACCTCTGTCTGCTAGAACACTTTATATGTGCGTTATATAATATATCATATGGTGGGCTTTGTTGAATGACTTTGAGAGTGTTGTAAGTTATATTCATTTTCGAGAACAGAAATGTGAGCGTACAACCTGTCAGTGGGAAACACGTAAATTTCAATTCGAAATTCACAGATTCCCATCAACGCAATTATATCCATTACAGGCAAAGCAAAATTTTGCCACTCGAGCAGTAGTGTCAAATTAAGAGTCAGTCAAAACTAAGTCACAGTCCTCAAACCTCCATCTCTTTATTCAAGTTTTCCATCAAGGCACAGTAGAAAGCAACAAGAAGTTGTATAAAATATTAGATATCACTACCAAAGAGTGTGTTTCCCATTAATCCTTGTGCCATCATTAACACGACTATTACAATCCTCCAATATGCTTATCCCAAAAATTACCCCATTTTCATGCGAACTAGTTCGCATCATAACTCAATGCTGAATCTTGCTCGACTGAGTACTCGGCAGGCTAGCTTCAAGCTATCCTGCCTCTTGGCCAAGAGTCCCAAGAGCCGGACTGCTTAAAAGCTAACATCAGGAGTCACACCGATGACGAGGACAGGGTTCAGCTTCGCCTGGATGTTGCGGATACGATCGGCAATACCGTTGGCGTTGCCGATGGCGTTCGCCACGGCGTTGAGAGCCGTCGAGGCCGTGGCGGCGACGGTGGTGAGGGCGATTTGGAGGGCGAGGTTGGCCTGGGTGAAGGCGAGGGTGTACGCCGCCTTGGAGACTGGGTCGGCGACGGCGTTGGCCTGGGCCTGGAGGTTCTGGAGCTGGAGGGTGGCCGCCCTGGCCAGCAGCTGGGCCTGGCGGACGACATCCTGGGCGATCTGGACCACCTCAGCGGTCGGGATGGACGGTGGCGCGGCGGAGGTCGCGGACGGTGCCGGTAGGCCTGAGGGAGCGACGCCCAGGAGGTTGCCAACGACTGTACCGACTCTGGTGCGGATGCTGTTGGTGTTGCTTGTCACTTGTCGGATGACTGCGTTGACTTGGTCGGTTCTCTGTCAAGTAAGGGGTCAGTACGTTGATCATAGAGCTCCAAGAAGCCGACGAGTCTACTAACATCCTTCACCGTCGTTCCGACGGATCTTGTGAGGTCGCCGACGAGGGTGGTCGTCTTGGTCAGGTCATTGGAGAAGATTTTCAGCGCAGTGTAAAAAGGGTCCGTCAGCTCACTCGGGTTGAAGACAACTTCAGGAAGGACGACGGTTCCGGGTGTGATGGTAGCGCGAGGGAGGATTGCGGCTTCGACTGAGGCAAAAGAGAGGACGGCAACAGCCGCGGTAAAGACCTTGGTGTACATCTTGGCGACTGTTCGGGCAGATTTGACTGAGGAAGAGGAAGAAGAAAAAGATGGCTGGTGAAGTGGATTGGGTTTGGTTTGTGAAAATTGTGACTATGGTTGTGAAATGCTGCGAGATGCTGAAGATGTTCAGAGTGATGGTGATATTTGGGTGGACGATATTGATACCTCTTATAGAAATCTGGAGATGCTCCAGGGCCGACGGTTTCCTACTTCCATGAGTTAAAATGTCCAAGATACAAAGTCGCTTGACCCGCAAATGATGATGTCGATGCTTAGATGACGGGAGGTTTGCTGTGAGGTAACGAATTGAAGCCCTCATCCGGACTGACTACTCCCCCAAGAGGCATCTCTCAATGCAAAACCTCTCATATCATCACTCGTCGAAACGTGTCGGTCATGCTCCTACATCCGTTTTCAGTGTTGGACTCGGTCCAAAAAAGGGTCTTGGAGATCAGTTCGGAGTGTTTGGTGCCCCCGTCAAAGATCTCGTTCAGGTTGATGTCGGATGCCAAGGCTGATCAGCGCTCACAGGCCGATTTTCTTTCTCGGTAAGGATGAAGTTTCTGCCAAGGTTCCAAAGGGTACAAAGATGCTGGAAACGTCAAATACCAAGCTTTCTTGGCACGGGGACTGTAGCACGACATTGGAAATATGCCTGTACAATAAGCAATAGCTCTTCACTCGTGACCAGAATAGCATGAACAGGCGCGTTAACAAGAAATCCTGTTTGTCGTGTTGGAGTCAAGATCTTCATAGTGTTTAAGCTCATGGGCACTATCCTAGCCCGCGCCACAACATGGAGCAGGCGAAGCTCTGGACGAATCTGAATTAAGCGTCAACATAGGGCAATGACGGACCTCCTCCTAAGAACAAGCGTGGTCTATTAGCTAGGTGCAGAATTATGGCCTCCAGAGAGTGTAAGAAGAACAACGTCTTGCCACATGTCTAAGTATAATACGACCCGGGGCTTCGAGCCAACATGCCACGTCTTCAACATCCTGGTCAAACTTTACTCATGTAAGCCCTTTCCTGGCTTTCCGCCTTACTCGGAGAAGACCCGGTAAGGCGTCACTTCCGAGTCTTACTGTATCATCGATGAAGTGGTTTTCTCGCTCGCAAAAGTCGAAGGGAGATGATGTCTCTAAGACCGGAAGGAGATTCGGGGATGTCTCACATAAGATCCAAACGGTTGAAGACAAGATCCACGATTCCCGCAAGCGCAACTTCATCCGGCTCCGATGTGAATACCTAATGCCCTGTATCTCGCAAGACAGTGTCTCACATGCAGAGTGTGGACGCTTTCGGTACAGTAAGAACGGGGAATGACGGTTCCGCCTTAAGATGTACCATTTATTCGGCAAAGATCTTGTTCGCCATGTTGCAATTGGAGCCACGGTCCGAAAGGGTCGATCGGCCCGGCCAAGGCAGGAGTTATGCTTAATTCCCTTCTTGTCTAGTCCTTGCCATGACTAATTCGTGGGAGGAAACTTCGCTTGCGGCAGGAGAATAGCGATCGAATCTGTTGAGCCTCATTCAAAGCCTAATGAGCCGATTCCCTTTGTGAGTTGCGGCGTTCTTTCCGTTTTCAGGTCAAGTTCCCCCGATGTCGTGCATGATGATGTACCGCGGCCTAAGGTCAGCACGTGGTAAGCTTAATCATGGCGGTTGAGCATCCCTCGGCTTGCCGAACTCGCGGTGGCATGGAAGAGGTCGGCAGAATCGGGCAGATGAGATAGCTGACTTGAACACGCCTGTTGTGCCCTGGGCCCGGAGAAGTGCTCCGGTCCGCAAGTAGCACACCGGGCCCTACACAGAGCCCAGAATTGCAGCTAGAGTTGATGAACGCCTTGCGTGTTCCGCTTAATTTCAGTCGTTACGTCCCTTTTAATAGTACCTGACGTGTTGCGAAAACTTTAGCCGCCTTTCACTGACCACGCGGTCTTGGATTAGGACCCAGCTTAACTAGAACATTCAGACTCCAGGCAACTGTATCTTCTCTAAACGCATTCGCTGTCTCCTTGACACAGTATCACATTCATCGTCTCATTTTGATTGGATGGTAGGGGTTACTGGTAAGCCTGCCTTCGTATAAACATTGAGATGGCCTGACCTTACTGCGATGGCAGTCACAGGGCATGCTATTCCGAGAGAGTCCGTCGAGGAACATCCAAAGCATGACCCTTGAGGCAAGAAGGTACCTGAACCAATTGGTATCGATCATCAAGGTCTGGCTCGATTCATGCATCGAAATTTGTTGACGTGTTGGTTAGGGAGCATCCAAGATCGACGAGGAATCAAAACACTATGCTATCCTTAGTAGACTAAGGCGAGCAAACAACTAATAGGCTTTTTAGAGTAACCATCATAAAGGACCACGTGCAGTTCCGTCGAGTTGATACCCTAGTAATAGGGTGACGACCAGCGGACCGTAATCTTAGTAGTTTTCACTTCGAAGTGCCAAGTCAGGTATTGTACCATCCGCCGAGAGCGTCAAGTTCCAATCGCAGGTGTCGGTGTTCAGAGGAATCACCAGCAGTATACGTGATGGATCCTTTCTCTGCAGTCAAGTGCTCGAAACCGATAACAAGGCTAGCAAATACCATACTATTGGTTGGCATGAGTACTACAGAAGACATAGGTAAATTGCTTTGAGTTGAGGCTTGTTCCAAGAGATGCATTTTTGACGAAATGCCCAACGCGTCACGTATGCTAGTCAATAGGCAGACAATTCAAGATGGTTACTCATGCTTACCGAAGAATCGAAACTCTGAAACCTCATAACAACGGCACTGGAAGATTCCATAAGCTCAAAAAGCCTGTGAGGGAAAGAATGGTGGATCGAGACAACGTCAGCCAGTGGGCAGGTTGGAATAACCTTACTTCCAATCGACCGATCCCTCGCATCTAACTCGCTGTTCCTCAGAATGAACTCACCACTCAAATCCCTTCCCCCCTGATAGTCTTTGGGTCACTTCAGCGGACCCTGCCGCAATCAGCTCAGCCACACTCCATCATTCTGGACCCCAAGACAACTATTGCTAGGTGCTACCTTAGCTGGTAGCCTTCCACCAATCGCTGCCCACACCCTTTACACTTGGCGACGTCCCCAGCCATACTCGCAACCTCATTCTGCTCAGCCACGCTACGTCACCGCCATCTCAATGAGCTCTTGGCATACAACACCACACAGCAGAAGCGACCCTGCCAGCCAAGATTTTGAGGGAACCGTTGTGTCACTGGTGCAATCAAGAAAGGTTGGGGAAGAAGCAAGCAAGGGGGGAGAAAATGATGTGTTCTGCTGCACTGGTTCGCACGACGAAGGAACTATATAAAACACAAGCCCGTTCCTTCTTGGCTTTTGCTCATAATCGTGATCCAAATCAAACCGAAAGTACAGAGCTTTTAACCACGGAAAATCTCGACGAGAAACACCAGGTACTTATCTACCTACTTCATCACCGCCCAGGCGTTTTCTCTTCCGGACCTTGAACTGACAAGCTCTCCAGCAAATTCTTACAAAGACCCTAGACAAAACCACCGACAATCATCATGCCCTTCTTCTACTCCAAGCCCATCGGCGGCCGCAACTTCGGCACCTCCGTCCACGCAGACCGCCACGGTATCCGCCGCGGTCCCTGGCGCATGCGCATCGGCCGATTCAACTGCTTCAGATAGGGTCGATACCGCTCTCTTGGCGTAAGCGCGTTGACGCGATGAGATTTGAAACGGCCTTACAGAGCGTCTTGTCTTCCACACCTCGCTCCGCAACCCTCATTCCTGCGACCTGATCTTGTCCGGTATGAGCTGACGCTCAAAAAACCACGCACGAAACCTTTCTTTCCTTTTTGCTATTACGAAATCATGGATACCAGGAGTCGTCATTTGCGCTTATGCTTGTGATGGGACAGCGAGCGTTTCCTGTCCGTATTGGGGTCTCTTACGCTGCGGTCACATCGAAGTTGGTCGTAATGCTGATTGATTGTTGCAATAGTGCAATGCATACATAAATAATACATTTTTCCCCACAAGGTTTGTTGGACACATTGTGAAGCACGAGTCTTTGTGTTGGCCATCAAATTACTGCCTCTGTATTCCTCTGTATGAGTATCCGTGGCCCGCCAGGATTCAGGCTGACGAGGCGATAAAGTGTCAAAAGCTGGAGAAACAATGCACCTTCAGAGGAGACGGTCTGCCAAGTTGCCATGGGCTATGGCCATAATGGTGTTGTTGTCACCGTCGGGACACTTCCGTGGAGAAGATTGATATTTCCATCCTATTATATTAGCCCACCTGACTTTACTCACCACGTCATAAGGACTAACCATGGACATAGAGATGCCTTCTCGGGTATGGCAGATTGACAAAAGATATCATGAGACCTGAAAGGCGGATAACAAGAGGACGACCTGAAGACATTTTGACCAGAGAACATTGGGAAGATCCAGGAAATCACCATTGTGCCCAAGCAATAGCCAACCAGCCCGTTTCTCGGCATCGACGGTGGTAAGAGCTCTAGGACAGGAAAATAGGCATAGTAAATGTCAGTCACTTGTGCAGGATTTGATCAAAATAGTGCAGGGGCCAAAGGGGTTGGTGATATTCTCGAATTACCGAGCATATGAAGGATCCTGTTTTCCATGCCACCCAACGCCTTATTCTTGTCAATCGACGATAGTAGTAAGAAACACACGCCTGAGTGAACGTCAAGTCGTTGAATTTTTGCTGCGGTTTTTTTGTATTTCCTAGCACAACGGTACGAGCCATGCCAAGCCGCAGCCCTGAATCATCGCAGAAACCGTTTCCGATGCATTCCCATCCCTGGATATGAGAGCAAAACGCAAGTAACCGGCGAAACCGAACCCCCTCGCCCCGAACAGCTGATTTTCCACGCAACCACTGAAAACTTTTTACATCTTCGCTTAGACCTCGGTGGTGACCTTGGCCTTGGGGTTCGTGACCTTGACGCCGAGCTGCTTGGCGCGGCCGATGATGTCGATACGCTTTCTCGAGGAGACGTTGTGGGCGATCCTGTAGTTGCTGTTAGCTAACTGTAGCTTCCATGAGGACACCCTTGGCTCGGTTATCGGTGAGAGCTGGTAGGCGGGTGTGGAATGGTACGCACTCGGCAGCGTAGGTGCGGTTGTGCATCAGCAGGAGGTTGACGTCGTTGACGTTGCTGACAAGGAAGGCCTTGTGGCCGGAGGGCATCATGTACTTGGTCTTCTTGTTGGAGCCGAAGCCGATCTGAAAGGTAGGAATGCCAGGTTAGCGACGGTAGTCCTGGGGCCCTTGAAGCATTTTTCCGCCCGTAATATTTTCCCTCCTCATGTTGATGCCCATGTCCAAATCCCAATCCAGCAGGGAGGTGTTCGACGTACCGAGGGCATAGCAGTGTTACCCCTGAAGCGACGGCGGACGCGGTTGTCGATACCCTTGGGCTTGCGCCATGATCGATCAACGCGCATAAAGCGGTCGCTCTGGTGGCGGTTGAAGAGCTTCGTGCCTGTTCAAATTCACAACCGTCAATCCTCTCGTTTCCAATCCAAAGTTCTCGTTCGTTTGATTCATCGTCGGGGTTGTCGGGTACGCGGGGTCGTAGAGGGGTGCTGTCCTTGGGGCGGGAAAAAACATACGCTTCTTCACGATAGGAACGTGCTTCTTTGCGGCGACCATCTTCACAATAGCAATGTCAGTGATCAAATCAGAAAATCGACAGTAGGTCGAGCGAGGGTGCCGTAGCAATTGATTCTCACCTTGACGGCTGTTCCTGGCTATTGGGTTAGTCGGGGCGGGTGTACGTCGTCAAATTCGGGCTTCAGGGCGATCGTGAAATTTGGGCGACCACCATTTCGAATCCCACTGGACGTGGGCTCTTTCCGAAGCCCTAAGATTTTGTCGGTCACGTGTGGACCGGCGGCTGGCGGGGGAAGAAAAAAAAAGTGCAGAAGCGGAGACCAGCGACTGGCCGCAGCCGCCACACTGGCCCAGCGGGTCGCGCTAGTTGGAGGGATTCCCTTCGGTCTGCGGCCAATGGAATTGGCTTACGCAATGGGTTAATGATTAGAAAAAAATTGGCAGAAAGCACAGACCCCCTACGATGGGCTGCGGCGGCGGCCAGACCTGCATAAAGCTCCCACTTCTCTCAGCGGCATTGCTTGAAAACAGAGATTCGTCACCAAAATTTGCAAAAGCATTTTCCCACACCGAGGTTCGAACTCGGGACTCTCCGGTCATCATTGAACACATGAAAGCGGAGTATACTAACCACTATACTATATGGGACGTGGCTGCTGATTGATGCTCTAGACTAACACCAAGTTCAACATAGACCCCTCACTACGTGGACAAAGCCCTGTAACGGAGTGGAATTAGAAACGGTCTATGCCTTCCATGAGTCACCACAGCACTAGTTGCTTTCGCTGCACCAAAGTTGAGAAGCGACATGGCACCCGTGTACCGTGGGTTGCCTTTCATTCATGAGGGGGATGATGCCCAAACTACCAAGCAAAACTCCTCTCCAGTCCCCCGTTCTATGCTCACCCCTACACCGTCCGGGTCGTCAAGTATGTCGTGAGCTCCAGGGCGTCAAGCCCAAGACTCTGTCCTCTAAAATCTCTATCCAACTAAGCGCCTCCTACTGAGGCTGGCACTGAGGCTGGCCGTCGTCCTCGTCCTCGTCCTCCCATTCGCCACCGAAACGCGGGTCTCCCGAGTTGGCGCCCATCTGTAGACATTTGTGTTAGCGCCACCTAGATGATGATAGAAGTACCTGGAAATACTTACCGAATCCAGGCTGTCCACCTCCTCGTACTCAACCTCATCAACCTCCTCGGCTGTGATAGGGGCAGGCGGGGGAGGGAGGAGCTTGTTCAGAGCATCGTACTCCTTATCATCCTTCAACCAGCCATCCTCGGGGAACTCGACGTTGACAATCAGGTACAAATCACCCTTCTCTTCGCCGCGCTTCTGAGGCATACCTTCGCCAGCGACCTTGAGGATGTCACCAGGGCGGAGGATCTCGCCGCGTTGCCTCTCCATGTGAATGCCGCGGCCGTCTAGGTGCGTCAACACAACACGAGAAAAGCCGCCGAGAGCCTCAGCCAGGGTGACAGTCAGCTCGGCAGATAGGTCGTTGCCGATGCGGGTGAAGTCGTCATGGGGCTCCTCTGCCAAGTGGAAAACAATGTCTCCCGGGGTTTGATCGGGGAATTGGTCCGCCTCGCCCTCCAGCACGATCCTCTCTCCATTCTGAGAACCTCTGGGGATGTAGATCTCAAGCACCTTGGTCTCGGACGTCGTGCGCTTGCCCTTGCACTTCTTGCAGCGGTCCTTCTCCTTGCAAAAGTTGCCGGATCCCTCGCAGCGATCGCAAATAACGGTCTCTTTGCGGACCATACCCGGGCCGACCTGGCGGAAAGCCTCTGCCATACCGGCGCCTCTGCACTTCTCGCACTGCTGGGGCTTGACGTTTGCTTTGGCGCCGGATCCCTTGCAGGTGCCGCAGACAACCTGCTTGTTCGCGGAGAACTTGACAGTCTTGCCCTTGTATAACTCCTCGAGCGTGACTTTGTAAGGCTGGTCCTCATCGGGACCGCGACGGGGTCTTCTGGGACCAGCGCCAGGACCGCCAGGACCACCGGGGCCGCCCATGCCCATGCCAAACATTTGTGACAGGATGTCGTTCAAGTCGACCTCGACGCCACCGGGACCGCCGGGACCGCCTCGCGAGGGGTCGAATGCGGCCATGCCGTGGGTGTCGTAGAGGTGACGCTTGTCCTCATCTTTGAGAATTTCGTAGGCCTGGCTGACAGCCTTGAACTTGGCTTCCGACTCCTCTCTACGTTCCTCGGGGACTTTGTCGGGATGGTGAAGAAGGGCAGCCTGTGAGGGAAGGGCGGGTCAGCATGTGGTGTTGTGACCAGGGGATGGGTGACGAACCTTTCGGTATGCCTTCTTAATCTGATCCTGCGAAGCATCCTTATCAATACCGAGGAGCTCTGGGAAATGCGTCAGATGTGATCCACTGCAAAAAAGTACCCCTCGGGCTCCATAGGCAGAGTCTTACCGTAAAGATCAATGTCTTCCTCCCCCGACATGCTCGGTCCACCACTGTCCATGATTGAAGGTTCTTCGGAGGGCACTCGGGCAAAGTCTTGCTCGAGATTCGGCCTTCAGAGGAGTGATTTGGAGTTGAGAGAAGGGTGGATGTGGAGTAGATTTGAAAATATTTTGTCTGGCGTACGGTGTACCTGCCGGCAGCAGGCCTTTGTTTGGCGGGGTATCATGCCCGCAGTGCCTTACTGGGCGTGCGGCTGCTAGGAACGCAGGCGTCGCAGGCTGATACCTCAGCGCTACGGGTAACCTGCTGAGAGCGCGCGGCAGATGGTAAGCAGTCCGGGCCCCTGTCCTATTCCCCAGCCGCCTATCCGCCTGCACCTGTTTATCAGCAAACTAAGGTAGAAGGCGGTGTCCAGCTAATAGGTAATGTGCCAGTTACCTCCACTACATTTGTTGTCGGCCCAGCAGTTGTGTGTTCGATACTTGCTGGGATTGGAGATACCACAACTGGATTTCTTCGTAACCGTGGCGGGGTTCACCAGTTCCTTTCAAGAAACAGCCAGAGGCCCAATATGCAGTTGAACTGTATGGTGACCCAGAGTTCAATCTCAGCCTCGATTTGAACAGCATCAACAACTACCAGGCTTTCACAAGCAAGTCAATGTGGTTGGTGTCAACCCGAGGCTGCCGAAAAGCAGACTTCGGAGAGACTGAGGATTAAGTTCGGTTACCGTCACCAAAAGCCTCGTTAAACTCTGCCTCTTCAACTCACCAGTCCCGCAGCAGTCCTCGGACGGGCACCCGGGCAAGCTGCTCAGATCACGATGTTGTCATCTTAAGAGACTATGAAACCTGATGACCGTTCGAGATTCTTGAGACGACTAGTACCTACTTCATTCAGTTTATGAGATGTATCTCTTTGAAACTCTCGTTGCGGTTAAGATAAGAACCTCATCTCAGTGCTTTCCTACATGAAAACAATCTCATGGCCAATTAAGTTATCGCTTATCTTATAAGGCACGGGACCGAATGTGTTGAGGAATCGCCATCATCGACCCCCAGTAAGTAGGTATCCACGTACCTGAGGTATCGAACAGTGTTGCGAATAGAAGTCTTTGTGACATACGCTCAAGCCACTGCTGTCGTATAAGTCAGTATCTCGCTTGATGCATATCTATCACCCGCGCCACATGTGGCTGAAGCTCATCGACAAATTTCACCCCGATCAGCTCATCCATCAACGCCAAACGAATGGCACTTGAACAAATGTCTCTATCATGTCGATGATAGCCCTGAGATCACAGGGGAGGTCCCTTTTACAGCGCTCATCCAATGCGTGCTACGCGGGCTCACACTCGAGATGGTGCTCGTCCGCAAAGAGCAGCAGCAGCAGCGGCTTCCAAGCGCTGAGGAAGAAGCTCCCGCCCCTGGCTGACCGGAAGCTCCACGGCCTGCCCGACAAACCGGCCAGGACGCGGTTCGCCCCCTCGCCGACGGGATATCTCCATCTGGGCTCGTTGAGGACCGCACTTTTCAACTGGCTCATTGCTCGTGCCACTGGCGGTCAGTTCATCATCCGGGTTGAAGATACGGACCGGGTAAGTTCAAGACTGCTGCTAGATGAGATGAAGAGCGTACCCGCTGACGTCTACCACAAAAAAGACTCGCATCGTTGATGATGCCGTCCAGCGTCTCCTAGCAGACCTCAAATGGGCGGAGCTGAACTGGGACGAAGGCCCAGACGTCGGGGGACCCTATGGACCCTACGAACAAGTGATACACTTTGCCCCCTCATACTTTCATGAGATACCAGTCTAACCCCCAATTTCAGTCAAAACGCCTAGACTACTACAGGCAGCACATCGCCCAGCTCCTGGACGCGGGAAAAGCCTACCGCTGCTTCTGCACGGCGCACGACCTCGAGCGCCACAAGCAACAATCCCTCGACGAGGGCGGCACGGCGCACTACCCGGGGACGTGCCGGAGCCTCCCGCCGTCCCAGGCCGAGCGACGCGCCGCCAACGGCGAGACGCACGTCGTGCGCTTCCGCAGCGAGTGCCGGCCATCCTTCGTCGACAAGGTATACGGAAACTACCAGAAGAACGAGGACGAGGACGACTTCATTCTCATCAAGAGCGACGGGTACCCGACGTACCACTTTGCCAACGTTGTTGACGATCACCTCATGGAGATTACTCACGTCATCCGCGGTGCTGTGCGTTCTCCCTCCCCTTCTCACCCCCAGCACCAACCCACCCATACTTCTTTTCTCCTTCAAGGCGTCAACATGTCGCTCACACCAAATGACAGGAATGGCTCATCTCCACGCCAAAGCACATCGCCCTCTACGACGCTTTCAAATGGGAACCCCCGACCTTCGCCCATGCCGGTCTTCTTTGCGCCCAGAACGGCGAGAAGCTCAGCAAGCGCAACCACGACATTGACATTTCCTCGTACCGCGATAAGGGCATCCTCCCCTCCGCGCTGAACAACTGGCTCGCGCTGCTGGGCTGGAGCATGAACGAGAAGGACCTCGCAAAGGGGGGTGAGGTATTCTACACAACGAGCGATCTGGCTGAGAAGGTAAAGAGTCCCTCGTTTTATCGTCCCCCTCGCTGCATCTTTTTGTTTTTTTATCCCACTTTGGCCTCGTGTGTTTCTTCGTTCTGTGGAGCGGCACTTCGATGAACGCTCACTTACACGGCGAATAGTTCTCCCTGAGGTTCACAAAGGGCAACATCAAGACCAACCCGGACAAGCTCGCTGTCTTCCAACGCAAACACCTAACCCACCGCCTCCGTGAGGAGGACCCCGACGAGGACCTTCTAAAACAGGCCCTCCTCCCGCCAACAACCAAGCTTCTTGCTCACATCTCATCTCTTCTCCATTCATCTTCTTCCCCTTCTGCCGAGACCGAGACTCCTCCATCCACCACCACAGTAATCACTTCCCCAACAAACCAAAAACACTTCTTCCTAACAACAGACTTCACCTCCCTAACCCCCATACTCTCCTCCCCATCAACATCCCCCACTCACCTCCTCGAAATCTACCGTACCTTGGCCCTCGACTCCCCAATCGACCCAGTCGACCTAGTCCACGAACACCCCTCCTTCTTCCTCCGCCCCTCAGCCCAGTCCTACTCCCGCTCCCTCGAAAACCTCTCCCTCCCAGACACCACCGCCCAACCGCACGTCCTCCTCCAGGACCTCCACGCCTCCCTCCGCGACGTCCACGAGCTCGACTGGAACCCGGACAAGCTCCAGGCCGCCATCAACGACTTCGCCGCGCGCAACGCCGACTCGGTTGATCCGGACAAGCCCGTGAAGCCCGTCAACAAGGCCACCTACGCGCTGCTGAGGCTCGTACTTACGGGCGACCACAACCGCGGCGCCAAGCCCGCCAAGCTGCAGCTCACGCTCCTGGGGAGGGCGGAGACGATGACTAGGTTCGAGCTCTGCCTCGAACAATAAAAAAGCACGCTCTAAAAGAGGAGTAAAGCCCCAAGGACAGAGTATTGGGGAATATCGGCAGTGGAGACATACATCCATGCTTGCCTCCACAGCTTTGCTTTTCTGCGTGGCCAACAGGAATTTTGACTTTCATTGCCAGTGTAGGAGACCAGAGTGCTCGTAATGTAGGGTCTGGGTTTGGACGCTGCGCCAAGAGGCTAAATCATGTCCTGATTTCTGGCGTGACTTCCCATGGAGTTTGTGTACGATATTGTATGGGATAGGCTGTGTACAACGGCTTTTTCGTCTGGTAGTGATATTTTCTGCCCATCCCAGAAATTGAATTGAAAAGATGAATTACCATGCTGCTGCTCGTTGCCCATGACCAACGCTTCAGGAATCAGATTCAATCTGGCCACGTGGGCATGACAACTCACCAAAGGCGCTGACGCTTTTGTCAAACTTTCTTCAGGTGGCGTTGGCAACGAAACATGCCTTGTTCAATTTGAGCTCAAGCGTCTCTACTTGGCGCGAACCTTTCACTCAGATGCCTAGAGCCGCCACTGTCCTCCCCGAATTCCATGACTACACAGAAGCTTGCTTTCACACTTACTCGTACGCACACACACAGAAGGGTTAGATTAGCAGTAATAGTTGCATTAGATATGGTGTTGCGTTTGAAAACAATGCAACGCTATGGTCATGTCGTTCGCGGCCGTTGGGGAGCCATTGAGCCAGCTCTGCTTAGCTCTTTCTCTCGAACTGTCCTCCTACTTTGCTTTCCGCCATTTTACACGCCCTGTCTACGACCAATCCATCCGTAAATGTAGCAAAAAATGGTACATAGAGTGTTTACTAGATGAAGAAAAGGTTGCAGGGCTCAGGGTGAGCAGGTTGTTGGTCATTACGTCGTCACGGGCTTGGTTGGGGTATAATCGTCTACATAATTTCTTGGACCCAGATCTGCGCAAGTTGAGTCAGTCATGTATCCAAATGGTAACACAGTTGGCTGTGATGATGCTTACCTCCATCTTGCCTATATCCTGCCTTGTTCTCCTTGCTTGGCTCTTGACACTCATGATCGCCATGTCCAAGTCATCTTGGTCCCCCATGGTGATCATGTCGCCATTGGGCACATCCTCGTCGCGGATCTTGATCTTGAACCTCCGTCGAAGACCAAATTTGTCACGGATCCGGTCAACAAAGTCGGGAAATTCAACTGCCGCGCCGACCATGATGTATCGAACATCCTCCGCATGGACCTTGACACGGATCTTTCGGACTTCAGGTCTTCTTGAACCACCACGGGAGGACATTGAGTTTGTGCCTGGGCGTCTGTTGTTGGACACCATCTCGAAGTCACCCTCATCGAAAGAGCCGTAGTCAGAACCATCGTCTTCCTCGTCCATGTATCGTTGGGGTACACGGCGGGAGGGCTGCCGGCTAGTTCTCGTGCTGTTGCCACCGCCGCCGCTCTGGTACATGTCGTATAGTTCGTCAGGGTAAGCATCCTCGGCCTCCTCATCGACCGGCCGGCCGCGCATCTGCAAGTCGCGTCTTGAGTATCCTCTGCTGGGAGTTGCCGACCGTGACTCGGATCTCATCATGGGTGGAGGTCCTCTGCGGTCGTTGGGGCTACTCGTCTTTTGATACCGCTCGTTGGGTCTGGAATTCTCGATGTTTAGCTTCGCAAGCATTGGCTTAGGTCCGTTGCGGACGGATTGTCCGCGGGACACGGCGCCGCCATTGTTGGCCTCGACCTGGTCGGGGGGAGGTGTGGGGGGGAAGACGCCGCGGCCGTTGGGCGGTTCGGATTGTTGTCTTCTGGAAGCCAGTCCGGGCTTGACTAGGTTGGTTGCAGCGAAGGAAATATTGTCAGCGGGTCTGTCGTCCTTGACATCGTTCTTGCCAGCCTGTAAATCAAGAAGTCTGTGATTAGCAAATTGATTCCCATAAAAGTTGATTGGAACGGGAACCGATTTGCCTACATTCTTGATCTCGGACCCGGCAAAGCCAGTGAAGGCGTTCGCACGATCGGAGGCGGCGACTAGCCTGGCCTTTCCGAGATAGTCTTTCGTCTTAAGGTTGCGAACCTTTGCTTCGTTCGGTCGGTACACGACGCCGACGGGGATCGAGAAAACGGTGTATCCCTTGAGGAATTGTAAGCACTGATCAAAGGTCGACATGCCTCTTCCATACCTCTGCCTCTTCCCGAATCGCCTCATCGATGACGTTGTGGTCCTCCACCACCTTCTCTTTGACAGCGTACGACAGATCCTGCATACCAGCATCTTTCTGTTGCAGGTAGATGTAGCAGAGACCTCTGTTGAAGAGCACCTCGCAAGAGTAGAGCTTGAAGAGCAGACCCAGTTGGGCGTAGTCGATCATGGTGTTTCCTCGTAGGTAAAGAAGAGTGTCATTGAAGTTGGCCAATGCCTCTTCGAAATCGCCGAGCAAGAAATTAGAGACGCCCTGCTGGAAATAGGCCACAGCCAGATACTGGTCCAGCTTAATTGCTCGCTGGTAGCACTCGACCTGTTTTTCTTGGTTAGTGCCAAGACCTCGGCATCATGTTCGGAGACGACGCACAGCTTTCTCATGCTCTCCCAGAGTGGCGTGAATGACACCCATATTGAAGAGGATTTTTGATGTGTCGGAGATCCTCTCAAAGTCCTTGAGGGCCTCATCGAATTCATTGTTGTCGTATCGACCTAGGGCCGACACCCACGTTTCTATTTCCTATAGGAGGCAGTTGTGGTCAGTGTCATGTTAAAAGATTTGCCCGTCTCGGGCTGTCAGATCTTGCAAATTAGGCGGCTGCTGTTCGCCATCCGACGCAAAGCACGTACCTGTTTCAATGACATTTTGTCGCCAGATCAGAGTTATCAAAGTACCAAATCCAGATGAAGAGTCGAGAGATTGCGCAAGCAGACAGTTGCTGCTGCGGTCGAAAGATCGGTGACGGACAGGGTTCGAGCGAGAAAGGTATCGTGAGGAACTGCGATGCGGACGTGGACGACGGCAGCTGAACACGACGACTGCAGCAGGAAAGAAAGCCAAAAAAGCGACCCAGACCTGAACAGCAACAACAAAGTGCGCCGCGGGCGGCTAGAGAGGGTCCCCAGGGCTTATTTAGGGAGATGGCTGGCGGTCTGTCGACCGTGCGGCGCTCGGCGCCACTGAAATAACGGTTGGAGTGTTACCCCCGCTTCCGATGAGCCAGAAGCCGCAAATGGGGTGCGCTACGGACTTGGGCAACGACGAGCTGGAGATCTTGGCGCGTGGCGGGTACACCAGGGATCGATACTTGGCCCCGTCTGGCGATTTGCCGAAAGCTTCTGCAAGAACCGCCGATGCGATGGCGGGGAGACAGAAGCAAAAAAGAGGGTTTATCCTACTGTAAGATAAACTCGACGTTGTAACTTGATAGAGTTGCTCTTTTCTCGTTCCTGGCCAGCAGAAGCAAATGCCAAAAGTAGGACGGTGTTTCGGGTTTGTGTACGTTGTGCGTCGAAAGTCGGATTAAGTTGTCGGGGGAAGGATGGGATGGCCCTTTTTGGCTGCGAGTCCTGGTCCTGTGGAGGTGGTGGGTGGATGGACAAGGCCGCAGTAATATGTGTGTAAGTCGGACTAGGCGCCAAAAGGGGGGTCCGAAGCCAGTCCGTCCTGTACTATCAAAGTCTGGGCACTCTTCCTGTTCAGTCTTGCTATTTCAAGAACGAAACCAAGAAATCCGTGCTCTCTCCAATCTGCCTGCTTGTGACAACCAGGCTGTGACTGTGTGAGCGTGCGTGTGCCGAGGAAAGAGGTGACCAGAGGTGACGAGATAACAAGACTGCGTAAGTCTGAGTCGTTCGGCGCGACTCCTCTCTTGGATTGAAATCGTGCGTTAATTAGAGTCGAAACCTCGGACAGTGGTTCGACTGTGGGAAGCTTGGGAGTGACTTGCGGGTCAGAAAGGACAGTTTGGAGGTCGGTTGTCTTCGCTTCGCAGGTTCCAACTTCAGGATTAGATGTGGGAAGCAGGTGTGATGTGGACAAGAATAAAAGTGATGGAATGACCAGACTTGCAGCCGGGCTTGAGGAAAGGAATGGGAATGAATGGATGGAGGACGGAAAGCCAGCGCCTACAGAAAGGAGTCGAGTCGGTGCTTGCAGCGAGGGACCAAGGGGAACTTGACTGGTCGTGTTGTGGGCCACGAGACTAGGTGTATATCATGCAAGGTGCCCATCAGTAATTGATATTCCAACTCGATTCTCAGTCAGGAAACGCTTAGGATGCCTGTGCTCCGGTGCTCGTCCAGCTGCGAGTCGCAGGGGGATCCAGGGACGGGGAGGGGGGTATTCTTGCTGTCGACACTTGAGGGGGTGCAAAGAGGAGAGGGCCCGGAACAAGTGGCTTGGGCAGTTCGGTGGATGAAGGGGGCGTGTGTCTCGATGCAACATAATTCCGGTGTCTCTGGGTCGGATTTCGCACGCCCAACCTGGGTTTGGGAGAGAGAAGAATTGTGCAACCGATCTTGGCCATGATAGGATCTGCCTCGGTGACAAAACGTGTACCTACTTCTGTACGAAGTGAGTACAGCACACTGCCTTTTAGAGGCATACAGAGCACCCAGTTGTGACTTGTGAGATAGCTCGGCGCCAGAGAGATCATCTCCCGTCTGTCAACTTTTCCCAAGATGTCGTCCCAGAACACTCTTAGCAGCCACGCAGATCCTTCTTTGGGTATTCGACAAGGTATTCCGTCCGGCGCGAGGAAACAAACTTGCCTAAATCGAGTGACAGAATCAAGTGTTTTCTCTCGAAATCGAACCACCTTGCATATCTCGTCGCCAGATGCTGGGTTGTGAATGTGCTCGACATCGAATGTTGGGATCCCCTCGGGCCTTCTGTGCCTCGCCTTGGAGGAGCCACCCCTAGTGGGCATCCCATCCGACGTCCGTTCCGGGGGGAGGGGTGTGAGAGAGCGTCTGGGCCGTGAAAGATGGGCCAGTATGGACTCCATGAAGAAGTCGGAGTCCATGTCATGGCGTTGCGGATCAGATCGCACACTGCGTATCTTGCGGTAGCTTGACAAGGTAGTGGCTGTTTTGGACTCTCATTCTCCTGACTCTCCAGGGAGGGACGCCGACGACTGTTCCTGTCCGTTGTGTACATGGCAGCTGGGCAAGACGTAGCAGTCCCTTCACGGCAATGCGCTAATGCCGGATGTCGCAGGCATCTTGCAACCACTGCAAATCAGGGCCTGTCGCTTCCCATGCACGAAGCGTTGCAGCGAATGCGAGATGTGTCTGATTGGCCCCCAGGAACACGGGTCGTGGGCCGGACCTTTGAGCCACCAAACTTGTCCGGGGCCAAGGGCGCGTAGAGTAGTGACTAACGCCGCCTTGATCACACCTTTTAGGTGAAGTGGTAACTCGTGCTCCTCCTAGTGAACCGTGACTGCAACCCGCAGCTCGCAGCTGTATCACGCCTCGTGGCTGAAAATGGAGATGCTGCAGAGGTGATGGTGACTGCAGGGCCATCCGATCTCGTTCAGTCACCGGGGGTTTTCCTTAGTTGCTTTTGCGAACCCAGAGACGAGGTTGAGAAGTGGATGAGGTGTAAGTGCTTGCAGGCCGCCATACTGAAAATGGTCTGCCAAACCAGTCCACTGGAGCTGGAGAGTGACGTTGAGCTGTCTAAAATAGCATCTTCCGAGGGTGTCGTTCTTTGCAGAGTGTTAAGCGCCGGCGAAACTTTTTTGTGATTGGGTTGTCCCGGTGAACTGGCAAATTGGCCGCTTCGGTGCGAGTTACATGTCGCCAATTGGGCAGGCCGACTTGTCCAGACATTTCCAACCAAGGTTTCTCCATACGACAGATGGCGTGCTTCATCATTCAACCCCAAAAGACCAGCTCGATAGGATTGGTGTCCGTCAATTTGATCAGCCCAGATCGAATCAAAGCGACGCAATTAAGGAGGCTTGTTGGGCATATATATGAGCACTAGGCGGTATAATCATGGAGATGGTGGGCTGTCTTTGGTCAACGACGATCGGCAACAGAAACCAAGGTTGGTGGTACAGAGACCCCTCAGCCCAAGTCAAGACATCTGCGAGACTGCGGCGCAGGCACGCAGGTTTGGTAGTCCATCCTGTACCCGCTGGGACGATGTTCCTGCATGGGGAGTTGCATCCCACAGGACTGGAATTTGCGCAAGACGGGGTCAGGTATAATCGCTCGCTTGATTTTGGCATATCATGAGGCCATCGTGGTGTGACGAATTGTGCGAGCCCTCTTGTCTGTAGATTGCCCAGATGGCGGGGTCGGGCTGAAAGAAGGACAAGAGGCCGCCAAGGCAGAGGGAATAAGGTAGGTTCATCGACTGCTTCTTCGCCATTCCCCTTTGTGGCGTCCTGTCCGGGGCATCGCACCTCTCATCCAGTCTTGGTTAGGATTTGGACAACCTTATCTGTCGCGGGTCCACAAGTGGTTCTAGTCGTTGCTGACTGGCGAGGGGCATTGGCATCGATGTCGGTGACCGGGCCTGTGCAGTTGTCCGGAATCATTGCTTGGCCTAGCTTAAAGTCGCAATAGTTCATACACAGTACAGTAAGATATGTCTGATCTGCAGGGAGAGAGGGTTGGGGGCATCGTGAAGTTGAGGGATCAGGGCCACGCAGCAAGGACCAGGATGCGTCTAGGAGACTTGGCATCAGCCGTCAGCCTCTAGGCATCCGATGCCCACTAAAGGTACCTACCTTCTGGTAAGCAAGCTCAGCCACAGCTTGTTAACATTTGACTAAGGAAGTAGGTTACCTGTGTCCCGTCGGAAGCCACTGCCATCTCAACCCAGCATCCATGCCAAGCGTTCCTTCCTTCCGTCCATCAAAAAGAAGCACTTCACCTTCCAGGTTGGAAATCGAGTGCAGAATATTTGCCTCCTTCCGATGCTGAGGACCGAGATGATGTAAGACAGCAGACACAACTTAGAATATCCGTCCGCACAAGCAAGCAAGTTCCAGACTCCAAAGAATGAAAAGGGAACAAAATGCCGCCTCACTAGAATGGCTTGCATTGCAACTGACATGAGTATCCCTTCTCAGGACAGCCCAAAGCCCCGAAGCCGAAGAGACCCATTTCAAGGAAACCCCCCCAAACGCGTCGCCCTATCGATGCTAGATACCCAAGAAGAGCATCGCCAACTCTAATTATCCTTGCCAGTCCCAAGTCTCAAGAGTCTGCGAAACTCGCTTGTCCTTCAGGCTGTTTTGGAAGTCCCGTGCTGGCGTCTCCACTGACGTCCCGTCTACCTCAAGTGCAAGGGCCACGCTCTTCTTTTCTTCTTGACGGATCAACACACACCTGCGAAGGTGTCTGCCTTAGTCTGGGCGAAGGCAGCTTCCGCCGTAACATTGGTGCAGCTGGGGGAATGGTCACTTTCCACATGTTTAATGTGTGGAGTGACTTGCGACTCTGCCTAGACCACCAGCCACTTCGCCGCATGAACCAGACGTCAAGCCTATGGACTTCACCTTGTTTTACCACGCAGCATCCGGCCGAGTTTGAGGCGTCATCTCAGTCATCAAGCCGCAGGCATTGCGTCTCCCCTTTGGCGTCTGCTAGTCCAAATCTGCACATGAGTCTTGGACTGCGCAATAATCGCCTCAACCGCATCGTATCTTGGCCCTAAGGCAGGCCAAGCTGCCTCGTCCTACAGCACACAGACCGGACCGCGCCATCGTAGACAGCGGCACCCACAACGCTCCGCTCTGAGTTGCTATGTACTTGCTCGCCTGGCGGCCCTCCACTTCCCTATCTTACTTCCTCTTTCCCAAGTGTCACAAGTCTGGGCATCCCTTTGAACGGATGAATCCACCCGTGACGCGGCAAGACCGTCGCTGTCCTCATCGTTCAATACGAATCCCAATGGTCCGCCGCTCGCAATGCAATTTCCATTAGGGAGCACCGGCAAGCAACATCGATTCGACTCAGCTGTTCCTCAACTCTTGTTTCTTGATTCAGTCTCATCAAACACGTTTACATCATACTCGTCGATACATTTTTGCGTAATGGCTTGTTTGTGGCACTCCAAAGAACTCTACTGGCTTAAAAACCTGTCAATATCAGCATGGAAATGTCGTCAATGAACACTTCACCTCCCCTGCCGCCTCTGCCCCACTGCCTTGATCAATCTGTACGTACAGACCACCGCTTCTCGCATCCGATTTCAAGCTTGGCTACCTAGGTAGTTTCAAACTCGGCCATTCTCCCCACCCATCGACCCCTTTGCACGTATATGTCGGTCACTTCCCACGGGCACTGCAGTATCAGCCTCCATGTGCAATGCCATCTGCGTACACGCCCTTAGTGGGCCTCAACATGGCAAGGCGGTTCCGATGCCCCTGCGATCCAGCGAAATAAGGTAGTGCCTCTGGTCCCTGTTCAACCACAACCCGTATTCGTCTTATCTACGACCTGTCACCCGCGCTCCGCCTCCTTCCGGTCTTCGATCGGTGGGGGGAATCTCCCGGAACCGTCGCCAGTATTTCTTCTAACATGATCTGCATCAAGCCCGACGCTGTAGCCATGTTTGTTAGTCTGCTCTGGCGCAGGCCTCTCTGTTTTATGGGGAGAGATGCTCCATCTCTTTGCTGGCAACGCTGTCCCACCGCCTGCAGACGATCAAGATATCGGCGAAAATTCTGACTGAGACAAGCCTTGAAAAGCTTGGCATACAGAGGCTGATATATACGGGCCTGTGACAACGGATGGAAACCCGCAACCTTACCGAGACCCCCAGTGTCTAAGGGGCCCATCATGCTGCTCCAGGTCCGCGAATCTGTCTACTTAGCCGAGAGCCCTTGAACCTCATCCTCAGGCAAGGTGCCAAGGCATTCGTGAGGCTCAGCCTCACTGTCAATCCCGACTGGGTGGTTCTTCGGACTCCTCATACCACAACTACAGCAACCCCTGGGCATCTTGCTTTTCAGTGTCTGGAAGCCAAGGCCATCAACTTTGACCAGAGTTAGCGGACACAGTACAAAACCATCTTTCATCATATAAGTCGTACGATTTTGATTATGGTGGTTGCCACTCCACGAGTCCAAGTGTGGCGTTTGGTGATCATTATAAAGCCTATTCGGCTTATCCAACCGAGCTTCCCAGAAGAAAACACTCTGCAAATCTCTCGTTGATTTCATGATTATTCCTACACATCATGTGACGGGTCCCCATGCAGCGCCATATGATGCACCTACAGCATGCCCTTCTCGACCTCGTCCTTCCTCTCCTCCCATAGCGTCTTACCGGTGCATGAACAGACCGTCTTATCGTTGTCCCAGACGCCGGCACTCCTGGCAATCACGCCGACTACAGTGTCTGGGTCGTTTTTCAACGCCCCTGCAGACTCGTCTTGTCTCGAGACGACCATGGCATGGCCAATGACTTCCCAGATTTGAAAAGATTTATCGAGATAGGCGCTGCCTCTACCATCCTTGCCGACGTTGAAGACACCCAAGAACCCCTTGGCAGTACCGCCGTCACTGCCTCCCGACCAGACAGGGCCCGTCGATGATGCGCCTTCCGCCAGGTTACCATACTCACGGATTGTGGCTCGGTATGAGCCGGGGGCAACGCCGCGTAGCGTCATGTCGATCAGAGTTATAGTCGGTGACACCTGTACCATTCTAGCCAGGCCCCGAACCTCTCGGTCTCGCTGCTCATTCAACTTTGAGGATGCGTCCGGCCCATCACTTTCATGGTAAAAAGACTCAAGGATGCTGACAGCCGCGCCTAGAATGTGGTGAGTAAGCGGTCAGGCGAAGTCCGGTTTCCACAGGTGAGCGAGTGTAACTACACCAAAAACTCCATCTGCCGACATCAGTGCCGATGTGACAAGACAGGTCGGGTGGTATCAGGAAACAACTTAAATGTCCGCCAAAGGGTTACAGACAATGCGGACAAAATTTGGACAACAGAGCCAAGAGGGAAAGAAGAGGTTTCAATTGACCTACTGTTTGATCCTCCCGAGCCTCTCAGGATGGCGTCCCTCCCTGTGGCTTGGATGGCGTCAACAATGGTCGATGGTGCGGCTGCAAAACGTCGCCGAGAGAGTTAGCGGCGGTACATATTTCAAACGGCAAGGCGTTCAATTTAGAGCCCATCCATCCCGTGGCAGGCGAGGTTAGGCAGCAAATACAATGGGTGACATGTTGGAGGATCAACAAGGCGCCGTCAAACGGCAAGCTGGAGAAGCCTCAAAGCATATGTGAACCAACCAAACAAATGGGTGTAAGACGGGGAAGGGTGTGGACGGATTGGGGCTGATTGACGAGGATCAACAGTCCGTAAATTGAGAAGGAAAAGTAAAAGAAAAAGAAAAAGCTTTCAGAGTTTGCGGCAGAAGACGGCTTACCTGTGCCCTCGACGGAAAGCAATTGGTCCTCGAGATTGGCCTCGACCTTGGTGATGCCCCCCAGCTTGTACAACGAGTCTGAAACGTCCTTGACGCAGCTGTCACATGTCATGGGTACGGCGAAAACGGTCTAGTTTGACATTTCGGACGTTTCATTAGCCATCTTTTCAGCAACAACACCCTTTTGCTCTCTCGTACCCAACAGTCCCGTGGTGTAAGGCAATGCAGAGCACGGGTAGCGAAGTGCTGCAGCCGTGTGTGCGTGCGGACGAGAAGGGACCCTCCTCACACGCAAGCCCCCCGGATTGCGTGCGTTCTGACGGGACGGTACCAACGACCGAGCGAGCGAGCGTGAGTAGGAGCTCTCTCGGTCAGGTCCCGGCGTCCATGACAGGATCCGAGGGGATTTGTTGGGCGTAGCGGACGAGCGGGAAGGGCAGAGGGAGGAAAGCTTGAACACACCTGAAAAGGATATGAGACGGTCATGGTGAACGGTTGTCTGCTTGGCTGCAGCGGGCTTCGTAACAAAGAGCAGTAGTTGTGGATGAATTCAGGGAGGCAATAGAGCATGCTCTGTCCTTCTTGACCCTCGTTTTGGTTGCTGAGATGAGAGCCAAGGTAGTTTTGCTCTCCTCAAAAATAAGAGAGGTTTGTCGTTCGAGAGGAACAGGAGGATGTGGTTGTTGCGGGTTAAGAGAACCCTTTGTAAATCCGAGTTAGAGGTTTCTAGTAAACGTAATACGGGTTTACTGCGTCCAATGGAATGGTGCCGGCGTATGCGCTTTTAATACTCGTGGTATCGTGGAGTAAGTCGTCACTGTGAGTCTGGGCTGCTTTGAAATCGCCTTACCACACTTTCTGCCCCTCCTCCAATTGCTTATCCGGACGGCGAGCACGGCGCAATCGCATCGCCTCATTGCTTTCTGCCGTCTTCTGCCCCGCCATGAGACGCTCGGGCCATCTGGGGCTCAGATTGAAGAGGATCGGTCCAAAGTCGGCGCTCGGTCTTTGCAGCTTACCTCGGCAGTTGGTCCCAGCTGGTCACTGAGAGCAACACCCGAGCTGGTCGGACCTTATCATTATCATCACGTGAGGATTCGTGCGCTGGGCGTCAGCTCCAAAATTTTTGGAGAAGCTCAGGTCAGCCTATCGAATGAAGGTCGCCAACGATACCCGAATCGCGTAGACCCCCCAACGACGACAGTTTTTTCGAGCTCCGACGACGACGTTGCCGCTGGCTTGCCCGGTGCCAGATCCATACGATTGACCAAGTGATCCGCGAATACCCAAGATCCTGAACGTCGGCTGAGGCGGCCGGCCCAGAACTCACGTGAAGATGTCTCAAACCATCGGCCTGGTAAGCTTCCCCCGTTTCTCCTTTCCAGTATCCCAATCGAATGAAACCACCCTCTCATAGAGTATTCAAAGCGATCATTTTACTTACAAAAGACCAATTTATTAGACTCGCCTCTCCTACTCCCGGGTATGGCACCAAATCTCAGCCTCGGCCCCCCACGAGATCCTCTCGACCCAGCCGGGCGTGACCCCGCCCTCGCTGGGCCGCCTGGCCAGCCGCATCGCCGTGCTGCTGATGGGCAAGCACAAGCCGACCTGGGACCCATCGACGGACTGCGGCGACTACGTCGTGGTGACGGACTGCGCGGCGCTGCACGTGACGGGGCGCAAGAAGTGGCAGAAGACGTACTACCGACACAACACCCGGCCCGGTTCGCTGCGGCAGGTGACGATGGACGTACTGATGGAGAAGCACGGCGGCGCTGAGGTGCTGCGCAAGGCCGTGAGCGGGATGCTGCCCAAGAACAGGCTACGGGAGAAGAGGCTTGCGAGGCTCAAGGCGTTCGAGGGCGAGGCGCATCCTTATAAGCAGAATGTTATTCGATTTGGGGATGTTCCTGTTGGTCAGCACGGGTGGGAGGAGCAAGTTAAGGCTATTCGGGAGGCGGATCAGCAGAGGATATGAAGAAATTCTGCTGCTTTTCTGTGGAAGGGGCGGTTTCACACGCATGAAGAGGTCGAAAGGGGGTAGAGAGGGGGTTTAGCGAGAGGTGTGTTCTTGCCGTTTGGTCGGCGTGTATATTCTGTACGAATACGGGCATCTCAAAACTTGAAGTCCAATGGCTCTCTATAATTGGGCCGCATTTTTCATCAAGTGCTGGAACATGGCCGTCGTTGATGTGACTTGGCTGTGGCAGGCATCGTCATCCATGCCTGGTATGCGGCTGGACAATCTAGGCTGAAGATTCCAATCTCTCGAGAGGCATCGATCCATATCGGATACAGCTTGTAAGACGTGCGGATAATTTGACTTGCTGGGTATTCGCAGTTTAATCTATGCTCAGTGTAGACGAGAGAAAGAAAAGGACATGAATTAGAGGAGCACGAGAGATGAATAATGGTATGAAAGAACTTGAAGTTGTTGTCCGTTAGACTAGGCATGTTCCGTCACGGGTAATAACGGCAAGAATGTGAGGACTTGATATTCCAGCTTCCTACTGTTCTTCGCGTCGCTTGGTGATCTCGAACGTTGGTGACTGTAGTCGTCTTTGAATTTCGTTGCGTGCCGAGGAATACGAAGAATACAAGCGCCTTACTATTAATTCTAGTACGTTCATAAATTATGTTTTTTCTTTCTTAGCAAGGTACGTCATGATCGCCCTGAATCGCGAAACCACCTCTTTTACATCCAATATACATACAGAGACTTGGCAGAAACGTTTCCTATAGTATAAAATTCTTCGGCATTAGGAACGCTCGTCTAGACGTCCGTCGCAAATACAATCAGCAACAAACAACTAATTACATTTAAGATATAATTCAGGGAAGGATTGCGAAGAAAGATAGAAAAGGGCAGAGAATAATGAAGCCCTTTCCGGAAATCTTTGTTCATGGCATCACAGGTGACTTCATAAAAGGTCTGGCCTACTCCAGCTTCACAGTGTTCACCAAGTCAAGTGAGCGGGCCACTCGAGTTATGGGAAATATGCAAAGAAAGAGTAGTTTTGAATGGGTTGTCATATTCTAAGTCATTGCTCATTATTACTATAAAAACACCCGGCCAGGCTTGACCAGATCATGGACGCCTTTGAATGCAATTGGCGAATCTCATTGGATTCTCATAGGCAGCTTCCTCTCTCATCCCAAGTCAACCCCCCCCCCCCCCTCTCAACCATTCAAGACTCCCATCTACAACTTGGCAGTCTCGGGCTTGCGCGCGACCTCGCATTTGATGAGACCATTGGGCCCAGACTGCGGTGCGTAGACCTCGGCGTCCTTGCCCGTGTTCTTGAGCCCCTTGTGCCAGCTGAGGTCGATCTCAAAGTAGTGCTTGTTAGGCAAAGAGTAGGTGGCGGTGAGGGTCTCGGGCACGGCGGCGAGGATCTGCTCGCACATTTTGTACATTGTGTTTTGGACACTGGCGCTCTCGTCCTCGGCAAAGGTCTTCATGGTGATGTCGCGGGCCGCGCGCCACGCGGGGTCGAACTTGGGGACGGCGGCACGGACGGCGGCGAGGTCTGGGAACTTCCAGGTCCAGCCGGCGTCGACGTCGGTGGAGAGGATACGGTCCCAGGTCTCGGGGAGGGTGGTGTACTCGTCGCGGACGAAGCCGTGGAAGGCGGAGCCGGTGGACTTGAGGACGGTGAGCTTCTGGATGGCGCTGGTGAGGGCGATGCCGTCCTTGCGGGAGATACGGGCTTCGACATTGCGGGTCTCCTCGCCGTCACGGAAAAAGGAGTGCGGGTGAGGCTTGCCGTCGATGGTCATGCGGGTCCAGCGGTGCTGGATGATCTTGACGTTGGCGGTGTGGATGTGGGAGTAGGTCTCGAGGAAGTGGGCGCCGAGGATGGAGGCGAACAGCTCGGGGGGGTTGACGGGATTCTCCTTGGCCTTGATGTAGGTGGTGTTCTTGATGGAGTCGGTGGCGACGACGACGCTGTTGTTGGCGACTGTGTACGAGGTCTCGATCTCGCCCTCGAGGAGGCAGCAGACGGTCATCTCGGTGACGGTCTGGGTATTGCCATTCTTCTCGACCTTGTAGACGCGGACGTTGTCTTTGCCGTAGCGGGCGGAGGCGAGGTAGGTGGCCATTATGAATGTGTGTGAGTTTTGTGAATGGGAGAGTGAGAAGCGTAGAATATTGGGTATCACAGGTGAGATTGGTTTTAGCGCGAAGACGAGATGAGACGATATATGACGAGATGAGCGAGGATCAAGAAAGGCTCCAAGTAGTACTGATAAGGAAGTGGTTGTTGGTTGATGGCGATGAGACAGAGGACAAAAGCACGGTCAGAGGAGAAGGAGTCAGAGGGGCGACAAGAGCTCTTATATCAACATCCAAGAGAAGGAAATGGTTGAGGTTCTCACACTCCGATTAGCTTCGTTGGACGTCACCCACCATAGACCCGGGCCGGAGATACACCAAAAGATAGCGTAGTCGCGTCTTGAGTCGGCATCCAATGTTTGTGTTTGCAAGCTTGGGGTGCTAGGGTGCTAGGGTGTAGGGGTGGCCCCGCGGGTCGGGGGGAGAAGTTAAGAAGGGCCAAAGGGGCGGCCCAATGACCTGGCCGAACTGACCCGATCGCTTGACAGGGTCCGGCAGCCGTGGGGTAGAATGGTCTTATTGGTGTCGGGTGGAGCCCCCGGAGCCCGCCGACGCCCTTTGGACACTGGGCAAGCAAGTCGCCGCATGCAGCCGCTGCCTCCCTACGGCTCTCTGCGACAGGGCGGGACCGGCGAGCGACGCGCTGGGCCGTGTTTGCTTCCTCTGCTTGTTGAAGCAAACGCCTCTAGGGCTTTGAAAAAGACAAGAGGGGGCAATGGGGCGGTAGTTGATTTTGTTTACTTGATCCATGGTCCGCCTCTGCGGGACCAATGAGACTCGGGGTATTGAGTTGAGATCAAAGGATCTTTCTTGCAGAGCCGCAGACGGTTGTGATGTGCCGTTGAATTCCAGTGGCCGGCTCCGCGGAAGGGAAGACAATTTCTAAATTCACACGGGAATGATGGGATGTATGCATTTGCTTCGCCGCCAAATTGTGAACACCAAGAAACCCACACATCACGCAAGCCATTTCTCGCAACACGGCTGTCGCTGTGCCGCCGCTCTCCGAACTGATGTGAGGTCGAGATGAAGTGAGATGAAGTGAGATGAGGTGAGGTGAGGTGAGGTGTGGCCAAGGACGGGCGCACGAAGGAACCGGGGGCCCCGCCATTTCGGGACTGTGGATATTAGACCGAAAGGCCGAAGATGCAAAACCCGTAGTGGTGACTGATTCTGACAGAATCATTTCTGTCCATCATCCTTGCTGCGAGGGCGCGGAGCATCTAAGCTACTGCCATCTCCTCGATCCTTGGCGTCGATTCCTATCTCCCGCTACGAGGACTGACAAGTCTGTGGTGGGTGTCTCCGAGGCATCGACTGACTACGGATGGGGGAGCCGGCCGTGTTTCAGCATTAGTAGTGGCATTTGACGCTGTGGCACAAGCAGCTTCAGTCGGCAAGGGGTTTCCCCGGGACCGTGAGTAGGATGGTCCATGATGGTCGGTCATGGGCGGTCTTTTCCTCTATGCAATGCTTATATGGACGAACGGTCACCCGAAGTCGAATTCTTCTTCTCATTGTTCGAATCGAGGCTGGTTCGTCAATCCAAAGTCTTTGCCAACGGCTACTTGACAGTACGGTGGACCCTCGGCTGAAGGCATGTATTCTAAGGAATGAGACTTCTGCTTGAAGTTTTCAAAACTAACGCGAGCTATCACGGCCTCGTGATTATGCTTGTGAATCCTTGTCGGTTGTTCGTCGTTGGACGTTGGACGTTTGATTGTTAAAGGTGCCATGAGTGCCATGAGGTGAATCATCCGTATCTTATCGGGCTTATCAGGAATGCTCGTGGGGCACCTAAGGTACCCAGGTGCGTTACCTGCAAATGGGCCCCAGCCAGGCGAATGTACCATTTCAGCAGTCATGACGCTAGAAGAAGGCTAGAAATAGCGCTTGATGCAGCTGTCGGCAGCGTTCCCATTGGTTTTCTACGCAGTACCGCCGCTGTCCGAGCCAACCACGACGAGGCAAGGTGCGCTGTCTGGGGAAGTACTCGACCTCTTGCAGACAAAGGGAAGACACGGTCCAAGCTTTCTGTGAGGGGGGCGACGCGACCAGGAAGCGGGGCTACCTCACTGAGCATGCCTCCTTCCTCCAGGTCGTTACAGCGCATGCAGCAGCAGCCACCAGCAGAAGGGGAAAGGGCACGCTGAGAAGGTACCTAACCTGGAATCAATTGAAGAGTACCTTCCACATCATTATGGAGATATGGACTTGAAGATTATATAGACAGACAGAAGCTATCATGGTTAGAAACGTGATCCGTGTAGTAGCAGCAGCACTGGTCGTGATTCAGAATGGCTGATGAATGGAATGGACTTTATAGAGTGCGTGCATAGACGAGGCCCGACTCCGAGAATCCGAACCCGAACATTGGGCTACAGCGCTGTCAAATCCGAACAAACCTGGAAAGTACTTCCAACAACTGTAGCGTACCTGCCTATTCGTTCTACACCGTCACCGAGGCACCTTAAAGCTAGGTACCTAGGTAGGTAACACTGACACACATACACAACCCGCCTGTCCTTGGAATCTGCCTGGACAGCTTCAACTGGACCTCGCAACCTCCAAACCTCCACTCGCGGCAGCTGTCGACTGTGACACTGCGCCACCACCTTGAGAAAGCACCCTCAAACAGCAGGCATCGAACATCAGACATCAGTGCCTTTGCGGCGCCATTGGCAGCTCTCACACATCTGCGCGCGCGACCGTACTGTACGGATACTTGACTGCTAATACCACTGGGCCACAGCAGTGACCCATGTGCATCCACTCCTGAAGCTGGGAGGAGCAGGCTCAGCTTGGGACCCAGTGACCGAGTGCCGTGGACTGTGGGCCGAGAACAGTGAGCAGCGAACAGTGAACACTCGGCTGCAACGCCGCAGCACCACGTAACAATCGAGACAAACGACAACGGCGACACTTCTGCCAGGACTTATCATCCTTCAGACCAATCTGAGCACCCAATTTAGCTCGACCGACTTCAAGCGAAACCACCCTCGGGACTATCTGCCCCGGCTGGCACCCGCAAAATATCCCCATGATCAGTCCTCTCTATCGCGCAAATCGCATATCCTCAGCCTTAGACTTCCATCGCATCTCCACTCGGACTGACGTCCTGCCCTGGTCTTGGCGTGGCTCTGCGGGTGGCCGACCAACTTCGCGCATCTGCACCCGACAGCCTGCAATTCGAACATTCGCCTGATCAACAACCCGTTCCTCCGTACCTCTCTCGCCATTCCCAACCGCTTGCAACTCGAATTTTGTCCGAAGCTTGATTCGAAACTCGTTATTCATCCACTACGAAAGAGCCTCGAGCGATCGGCGACAGTCCTTGACTCCACACGGACGAACCCCGACCACGACCACCAACCCCCCCCCCCCCCCCCCCCCCCCCACCCCCGCCCCCCCCCCCCCCGCCCCCCCCCCCCCCCGAGCCCCCCGCGCCGACGCGCCCCCGCCCCCCCCCCCCCCCACCCCACCCCCCCCCCGCCCCGCCCCCCCCCCCCCCCCCCCGATACCACAGATAACGCATTCGTGTAAACCAAGCAGTATTGAGATAACAGTCGCCCGAATGCAACGACCTACGGAGAAGCCCCGGCATAAGGTGGTATCATAGAGAGGCATCTCCAAGATGCTGGGCGCCTCCAGCCAGTCTCAAAAGGCATTGTCGCCTCAGCAATCGGCATCAAGCGTCAATACCCTCAATCCACGTCCGAGTTTCGAGCGCGTAGAGAGCACCGGCGGCCTCCAGCCGCCATCCGCCTCTGCCAATGGATCGCGAAGCCTGGGTGCCTCGGGCGTCAGCTTCGGCCCGCGAGGCTCCTCCCTCAACCCCTCCATCGCGCCTGGGAGCTTCAGTTCTGAGCTGCGCAGCCAGATGATGCCATCTCGCTCTGGTTCCCGAGGCGATATCTACAGCATCGATAAGGTCGACGAGGAAGATCCCGCCACAGCTGCAGAGCAAACCCTTGCTGCCCTCAGGGAACAGCTGAATCGAGAGATGAAGATCAAGGATGGAAGTGAGAACATGCTGGAAGCCTTAAACGCCAAGAAGGCGAAACAAACCAAGGAGCAGAGGGCCAGGGTTGAAGCAGAGCTGAATGCGTCCAACCAGCGGATCAAGATTCTGCGGCAGAAAATCACAGACGCTTCGAGATTCAAGGCGACTCCGACCACTCCCACAAGACAAAGAACGAACGAGCCACCATTCTCTTCTGCCAACAATGGCATGCGCTCACCTCCCAGTGCCTCGCGTAGTGGTGCTGGTTCTGACAACGAAGAGACGGCTGAGCAGTCACCAACATTCCTCCTGGCTGAGTTGCTGCAAGCGCTCGAGCAGGAGGGTATGCCGCCAGAGTACTACGTCAGCCGAGGCAATGGTCTTGTGGATCTGTTCAGGCGACATCCAACTCTCAAGTATGACCTAGTGTGGTCAGTATTTGGTCTGCGCATGCAAGTCATGCTCCTAAGCGAGGCCAGAGAAGTGGTGGCAGCTGGCTACCGAATGATTCGTTATGCCATCTCAGATGTATCTTCATTGAAGAAGATCCGCAGCTTGAATACCGACATCATTGTTGTGACGTGAGTCTGACCTTCTACGCTTGGGGGCTTTATAACTAACAAGCTGTAGATCTTTAATCAAAGACCGAAAAGCAGACCTGGAACGTGAACAAGCCTTAAAGTTTGTCCGGGCCTTCTTGGACGTGAAGGATGGAGTCAAAGAACTCTCTCGAGCCGTTGTGAGAACCATAGCTGCTGTTGCAGAACAGGCCGAAGATCGCCTACGTTCCATCTGTCTGGAAACACTTGCTGAGGTCATGCTTCGTGACCCAGCCCTGGCAGTTGCCTCTGGCGGCCTGTCACCGCTTTCTGAGGCTTTGATCGAAGGAACATACAAGTCGCCCGAGTCACTTACGGCATCTTATATGCAGATCTTGGATAACCCACAGAAGAGAATCTACTTGCGCTCCGGTTATGATCTGGAAGTTCTCTTCACGGCATTCACGGATATCATCCTCGCAAATGAGAGTTTATTAAAGCAGAATGCCAAGGCAATCACCAAAATCCTCAAGAGCTGGCCTGGGTTGATGATGCTAACTATGCATGACTCCCGAGCCATCAAATCGCTGCTCATCAGCATGGTGCTTCCGCAGGCAACCATCCGAGAGACGGTCATCGATCTCATTTACCTTCTTCTTCGGATCAAGTCCCCCTCATGGGCTTCCTCCTTCCTGGCCGGACGCCGGTTGACGACATATGGACGGGTGGCGAGCCTCAAATCCGTTTCGAATCCGACGCCCTCGACCAATCCTCTGCCTGTGGAAGAAGACAGTGGAGAGCAGAACTTCATGGATCACTACACCGCCCTTCTCCTAGCAACATTTGTCAAGGCTGGTCTTCTGGAAAACTTACTTCAAGTTGCAAGGACTAGCGACCCTCAGCTGTCCAGAAAGACCTGTCTTCTGATCGGTGAGGTGTTGAAGCTGGCAAGCAGGCTCCTTCCTGCGACATGGAGCAACGATTTGCCTCTGCTTCCGGAACTCTTTGCGGCAGCGACTCAATTCAAAGACGACAACAGATTCGTTGCCTCGGGCATAGTTTATCAGATAAGCTCGGTGAGCAAGACGCTGTATAGGAGCACGCCGTCTGTCGCAACTGCCGGAACTCTCCCCTCCAGCGACAGCATGGGCAACCTCGCAGACATGCACCGCAAAAGCAACACCGGGGCTGTGGTTCAAGAGGGTGCAATCCGGCAGCTTTTGGTGGAGTCTAATGTCCTGAACAGCTCCAACTACTTGAAATGGAACTGGGATGTCATTTCGCGAATCATCGAAGGACCGCTTCAAGATGGAAAGCGACTAGATGAAGTCAACAGAGTCTCCAAGTTCATGAACAGGATTATGAGCTTCTACCGGCCTTTTAAGCACAGGTTTTCGGATCTTACAAGCAACAAGAACTCTCAAAAGTACGTCAGGGTCGGATGTACGCTGATGCACACTCTGCTTCAGTCAAATGAGGGCTTCCAGTACCTGCAAGATCATAAGATGTTACGGCAGATAGCTGAGTGTCTTGCTCAATGCGACCCGGTAAGCTCAACAGTGTCAGTGTCATGACCCAGAGACTAACAATCATTGTAGAGCAGCGGATTGACATCCACGGATCCCATGTTCTCCCCTGGTCGCCTGCAAAGTACTCTTTGCGCAGGCTACTTCCCCATGCTTGGAGTCCTGAGTGGTGACCCTAGGGGCTTGGAGCTTCTGCAACGCTGGAGAATGTTCAACATGATGTATCACATTCTCGGGCACAAGCAGCGCCCTGACTTGATCAAGCTGCTCCTCTCAAACTTTGACTATAGCATTCCGGGACATCCACGAGTGCTCATAGAACAGGCACTTACGTCTGGGACGAGAGAGATTCGCATCACGGCGACGAACGCGCTGCGAAAGTACGCCACTGGACCTTTCGATGCTTCCCAGCCTTCCCATGGTAAGATCGACTGGAAGTGGGCAATTGAGAAGCTGTGCGACCAACTTTATGACCCCGAGGTAGAGGTCTGCCGAACCGCGGTTAAGATCCTCGAGAAGGCATGCAATAAGAAAGCGTATCTGGAGTATGTTGTCCAGTGTCGTCCGACAATGGACCATTTGGGAGAAATCGGTGCTCCTCTCCTACTGCGGTTCCTGTCCTCATCCATTGGCTACCACTACCTCGACGGTGTTGACTATATCAGCAATGAAATGGATGACTGGTTCCTCGGTCGGAACGATTCATATGTCGGTGTGATTGAGACCAGCCTGGCCAAGGCATTCCTCGAGAATCCAGAAGAGCATCAGAACCGCATACACATGGTAGACGAAGCTCAAGCAGATACCGAACCAGAGAACCACATTCCACCGCACTTCTATCGCGAGCTTGCACGCACTCAAGAGGGATGCAAGTTGCTTAGCGACAAGGGACATTTTGCCGAGTTTGCCAGCACGATCAAAGAGTACGGCATGCAATTCGAAGATCCCGAGCTCATGTTGAAGGTCAAGGCCTCAATGTGGGCTGTTGGCAACGTGGGATCAATGGAGCTCGGTGCCCCTTTCATCGAATCATGTGACGTCATTGAAGACATTGTCAAGATCGCTGAAGAGCACGAAGTGATGAGTCTGCGTGGTACCGCCTTCTTCGTCTTGGGATTAGTTTCTCGATCCGCTCACGGTCTTGAGATACTGTCAGAATGCGGCTGGGATGCAAATCTCTCACCACGAGGAGAGTCTATGGGATTCTGCATTCCTAATAACCTGTCCAAATTTTTTTCGTTCAAGCCCTGGAAGCACGCTATTGCCTCGAAGATTGCGTTGCCAGATACGCAGAAGACGTTTTTGACCCCGCCACCCCCAACAGAAGCGCGTCCGCCTTTGGAGAAGGAGGAGCTGCCGGCCTTTACCAATGAAGAAGCCATCAACCAACGAATCCTCGATCTCGTCGTTGATCTCGGCAACATGGTTCTTTACAAGCGGGCAATGAGTGAACTGATGCAGATCAGACAGCACAAGGTGGCGGGCTTTAGATGCCCAAAAATGTTCAAGCGCGTTATGACAATGCTCGAATATAACCACTACCGTCTACCCATCAGACGAATGGTTCTCGAGATGTTTGACAAAATTGTTCTCAGAAGAATTGTTTTTGACGAAGACAGCGATAGTGGGTCTGACGATGATGATGGGGACGAGGAAGAGGAAAACGTATCCTCGGGTGATGAAAACCGAACCGAGAGACAAAGAAGCATCTCAGATCCGTCAGAGCTGGAGACGGAGAAGACGGAGCCTCTGCCGAAGGCGGAGCGATCGGACAGCTTGAGTTCGTTTGACACAGACAGCTCGGCTGACTCGACGGAGACGGTATAAGTATGTGTGCGTCGTTGCATACAACCGCCCATTTTTCAAGGATTGCTTGGCATTTGAGAAGGAAGGTTACAGATGGATTTCAAGAGGCATCATGATGAGGCGTTTTGCTGTTGGCTTTTCTTGTACTATATCTCGGGACTTGGCGAATGGATAAAGTCTCTAGCTGAGCTTTTGGCCGGCAAAGGAACCTCGAGAAGCCACGGATTGCTACTTAGGAGCGAGCAAGGAAAGGATGGAGTTGGTGGCCATCTGCGTATCGATTCCCTTGGTGTAGGGTGTCGGCAAGATAGGTAAATCAAAAGTGGCTTGTTTACTCATCTCTCGCCAAAGTCAGGTCATGGCTTGCAAGTCCAACCTTCGAACGAGGTGAACGAGGGGTTTTCAAGAAAAACGCAGGCTTGACGACATGTTTTACGCGATGCGTGACTCACAATCAGGCGCGGAAGATCTAGCAAGTCGGATGTTTTACTGAGCAAACTAACGTAAGGACGCCCCGCCCCCGCTTGAGTGACATCTTCGACCCGCGACCGATCCGCCGTCAACCGTACCCGTCCTCCAATGATGTACGATCTGCCTACACGGAAGGGTGCTCCGATATATTAGACCCTACCTTACCTTACTTACATGTACATGGACTTGTCTTGCCGACCGCAGACTGATACCGCAGCTGTTTTTGCCCCCTCCATTACGTTTTTACCACCGTCACCATGGTTCAGGGACGAGTTCTCGTAATTGCTGGCTCGGACTGCTCCGGCGGAGCGTGAGTACAGCACAGCCCGAAACACCGTGTAGTGAGGCAATTTGAACACATTACTGACGCGGTTTGAAGCGGCCTCGAGGCGGACCAAAAGGTCATTGCAGCGCACGGCTGTTATGCCATGACCGCCACCACGGCCCTGACGGCGCAGGATACGACCGGCGTGCACGATATCCACCATGTGCCGCAAAAGTTTCTGCTTAAGCAGATTGATGCTTGCATTGGCGACATCGGCGTGGACGTTGTCAAGACTGGTGAGCTCAACTCGGCACGATTTCGATTATCAAACTATCGGCTCAGGAGCTGAGTCGGGATCCAGGCATGCTGGCTTCGCCTGCCACGATCAGGACGGTCGTTGACGCTCTCAAGAGGCACAATGTCCCCAAGGTGGTCGTGGACCCGGTATGAAATTGTTCTTCCTCCTCTCATTGATCTCGGAGGAATCTCAGGGTTCTCACAAATGTCAGGTCATGATTGCGACCAGCGGAGCAGAGCTGCTCCCCCGCGAAGCCGTCGCCGAGCTGTTGGAGCGTTTGCTGAAGCTCACCACCGTCCTCACGCCCAACATTCCCGAGGCCAAGCTCATCCTCGAGGACTCGGGGTACAAATCAATCAACGTGAATAGCGTTAAAGACCTCGAGGAGATGGCAAAGTCGGTCCAGGCGCTTGGGCCCGAGTGGGTGCTCGTCAAGGGCGGACACGCACCTTTCAAGGAGGATCTCACTGTGGCACAGAGCGAGGGGGAAAAGGCTGTCGTCGTGGATGTGCTCTACGGACACGGCGAGTTTTGGCATATCCGGAGCCCTTACCAGAGCTCGACTAACACGCACGGCACCGGTTGTTCGTTGGCCTGTGAGTTGGGAGATACGGGAACTAATGAGATATGATGAGGCTAATGTACGGGTAGCTGCTATTGCGTCTAACCTGGCAAAGGGTCTCGGGGTGCCGGAAGCTGTCAAGTCGGCTTGCCGGTATATAGAGGCCGCGATTAAGACCGCTCCCGGGTACGGAAAGGGACACGGTCCGTTGAACCACTTTCACTCCATCCAGACGCTGCCCTTTGCACCGTATGGTATCCCTCCGGACCGTTGATGAAGCATTGAGCTGACCAGTCATAGGGGGCGTTTCATTGAGTACATGCTTGAGAGACCAGACGTCAGGGATGTTTGGAAGACCTTTGTATACCATCCTTTCGTCATGGCCATGGGAGATGGCACACTGCCCATGGATTCGTTCAAGCAGTACCTCATCCAGGATTATCTCTACCTCGTTTGTTTGCCACGGTGCCCAACGGGATTCTCAACTGCTCATCCGTATAACAGGTCCATTTCGCCAGAGCCAACGCGCTGGCTTCTTACAAGGCAAAGAGCATAGCAGACATCGCAGCTGTAAGTATCAACTCTCGTTTTGGAGGGTTATTCATTGACCAGCACAGGGTGCTACAATCGTCAATCATATCACCCGTGAGATGAGCCTGCACATCGACTATTGCAAGGGTTTCGGCATCACTGTCCCAGAAATCGAGGCCACTGAAGAACATCAAGGTAAGTCTCTCTCTCTTCCTGAAAGACGTTCTCAGACTTCTGAGAGAAACAAAGAATTGACAAAAAGACACCCACATACAGCCTGTACGGCGTACACGCGCTACGTCCTCGACGTGGGTGTCAGCGAGGACTGGATCGCCCTGCAAATGGCCCTCGCGCCGTGCCTGCTCGGGTACGGCGCCGTGGCGAACCAGCTCCACGGCGATGTCAAGACGAAGCGCGAGGATAACACATACTGGAAGTGGATCGAGAACTACGTCGCTGATGACTATGTCGGGGCGGTTAGGACCGGTTCTGGTTCGTGGAGATGCCTTTCTGCTCGCAATGGTTGACGGAAGGGGGTTTTGTTGACCAACAGTGTACAACAGACTTGATTGAGAGACACGCTGCCTTGCAGAGCCCGTCGAGTATAGAGCGGTTGGTCAAGATATTCATTCACGGCACAAAGGTTGGTTTGAAATTTGGCGGGCGGCGAGCTTGGGCTAACTGTGATACAGATGGAGATTGGATTCTGGGAAATGTTTCCTTACCGGTGAGTTTCGGTAAAGAATTTACTGGGAAGCTGGTAAGCTGGTAAGGGCATCTGACGGCTAGGACTGCTGTTGAATAGAGGGACAAAGACCTCGCATGAGGAGCGAGGGCGATTTTTTTTTAACAAAGATGATGAAGGCCTTGGACTAGAAATGGGTGCAATCACACGGGATAGAGGCAAGGTCCCTGTCCCCTCCACAGCATTGCCATCATCTTGACGCTCCGACAGCCTCATAGACAAACCTTCCGCACCTAGCTATATGTTGAACATACAGACAAGAAAGCCAAGCGCCGCTAGTTACCTTAGGCTGGTCTGAAGAGGAGCTTCCATTACAATGTCGTCCGATGCAGCTTCCCGTGCTTCCTTCCCTTGACACTTGGTGTGCACATGCCGTCCCAATTGGTACGGAGGCCAAACACTGGTAGGCAAAGGGTTCCCTGGCAAAACTGCGTCGAGACTTGAGGCTCATTCGAGACCAAACGATTTCCAATCGTAGTGTCAAGGTCTCCGCAATTCGCATGCAAAAATCTGAAAAGCTGGAGACCACCCGTCCAAACCAAACCAAACCAGCAATGTGAGGAAGAGAGCGAGCTCTAGAGTCAACAACCTTGCTGCAGATTTGGCAGAGGTGTCTTATCGCGAGTCAGATCCACCATGTTGTCCAATCGATAAAAGCAGTAACAGGCCCACGTGCATCGGGTACGTATCTTTTTTGCCTTAGCAGGGTCCTTCTGGTAGCGGTCGCCGAAAAGTTTTGGCAGGCAAAGAGAAAAAAAAATTCACCCCAGGCCGCCTTCCCTCGCGCTCCCCAAAACCTCCGACCCTCCTACTCTCTCTTCCCCCTTCTTTCATCTGCATCCCTCTCTTCCTCCATCTCACACATCTCCATTCCCTCCCCAACGCATCAGTCCTCTTTTCGGTTCGCTCCAGAAAAAGAGTGTCTTCTGCGTTTCTGCTCTCCCCACGGTCTTTTTTGTCCATTCTTGACATCGCTGAAGCGAAAATATTTCCGACAAAAAACCTTTCGCGCGCTCTCTGCAACTAGCAATATGTCCTACGGCGGCGGATACGGTGGCGGCGGTCGCGGCGGCGGCGGCGGCTACGGAGGAGGTGGTTACGGCGGTGGTCGTGATCGCCAGGACAGAGGTGGTCGCGATGGCGGCTACAGCGGTGGTGGTTATTCCAACGGGTAAGCATCTCTTTGACTCTATTCTCAAACACGTCGGTCGGGTTCACGAGGCGGCTGTTGCCTTGGCGCGACACTCCTTGTTATGACACGACACCTGTTCCGAATCTGATGCGCGATGTCTTCAAACGACACCCACGCAGGATCTAGCATTATCGGTCTTCCAATTTTATTCCAAGCATTGTGCTAACTGGTCAGTGACAGCAACGGCTACGGCGGTGGCGGTGGTGGTTACGGCGGCGGCGGTGGATTTGGCGGTGGCGGTGACCGCATGAACAACCTTGGTGCTGGTCTTCGCACACAAGAATGGGGTCAGTCATGAAATAAACGTATGCATAAAAACACGTTCGCTAATTCCCAAACAGATCTCAACACGATGCCCAAGTTCGAGAAGTCTTTCTACAAGGAGCACGAGGAGGTCGCCAACCGCAGCTCAGAGGATGTCGAGTCCTTCCGTCGCAAGCACCAGATTGCCATTGCTGGCAACGACGTCCCCAAGCCTGTCGAGACCTTCGATGAGGCTGGCTTCCCCAGATATGTCATGGACGAGGTGAAGGCCCAGGGCTTCCCCGCCCCTACTGCCATTCAGTCCCAGGGCTGGCCCATGGCTCTCTCCGGTCGCGACGTTGTCGGTATTGCTGAGACTGGTTCCGGAAAGACGCTCACCTACTGCCTGCCTGCCATCGTCCACATCAACGCACAGCCTCTGTTGGCCCCCGGCGATGGCCCCATTGTCCTCATCCTCGCACCCACTCGTGAGCTTGCGGTCCAGATTCAGCAGGAGATTTCCAAGTTCGGCAAGTCTTCCCGCATCCGCAACACCTGCGTTTACGGTGGTGTCCCCAAGGGCCCCCAGATTCGCGACCTTTCCCGCGGTGTTGAGGTCTGCATCGCCACCCCCGGACGTCTCATCGACATGCTCGAGGCTGGCAAGACCAATCTGCGTCGCGTCACGTACCTGGTTCTTGACGAGGCTGATCGTATGTTGGACATGGGTTTCGAGCCCCAAATTCGCAAGATCATTGGCCAAATTCGCCCTGATCGTCAGACTCTCATGTGGTCCGCCACTTGGCCCAAGGAGGTCCGCGCGCTTGCGTCCGACTTCCTTTCCGACTTCATCCAGGTCAACATCGGTTCCATGGACTTGGCTGCCAACCACCGCATTACCCAGATTGTTGAGGTCGTCAACGAGAGCGAGAAGCGTGACCGCATGATCAAGCACCTCGAGAAGATGATGGATAACAAGGAGAACAAGGTTCTCATCTTCGTCGGCACCAAGCGCGTCGCTGACGAAATCACCCGCTTCCTTCGCCAAGACGGATGGCCCGCGCTGTGTACGTTCCCATTTCCCTCTCACCCGCCTGGACACTAGCTAATATGCCGCAGCCATTCACGGTGACAAGCAACAGAACGAGCGTGACTGGGTCCTCGACCAGTTCAAGACGGCCAAGAGTCCCATCATGGTCGCGACCGACGTCGCGTCGCGTGGTATTGGTGAGTATCATTCCCCCCAACCTACATGGCAACTTCCAGCAGCCTTGTGCTGTGCTTTACTCTTATGTCTAGGGGCTCTCTTGATTGCGCACTCTTGCCTGATGCATTCGTGTTTCCTTGGTTCTCTCCGCTCCTGTGTGGAGTCTTGGTCTGGTGTGCAGCCGTTGGCTCGCTATACTCGCTGTTCCACTCTTGTGCCTCCCATTTGCCAATGGTACAAGCGTGGATGTGGCATTTCTTGATTCGCTCAAGCTGTCCCCAAGATTCCCCAAGCCCGAGGACCCGGTACATTGAACTTTCCAGGATGGCATTTGACGCATATGGACTGCCCTGTCTTCGACGGAGTGAAAAACAGCCTGATATATCTATCAAACAAACGTGGTTCCTGGCTGGAACGTTGCTATACACACCGTGAGGCGTCTGCTAACCCCTTGATCAAGATGTTCGCAACATTACTCACGTGCTTAACTACGACTACCCCAACAACTCGGAGGACTACATTCACCGTATTGGTCGTACCGGTCGTGCCGGTGCCAAGGGTACCGCCGTTACCTTCTTCACCACTGACAGTACGTGTTTCCTCAACGCTCTAACCCCCTGAACAAACAGCTAACTTGATTGCAGACTCCAAGCAGGCTCGTGACCTTGTCAACGTCCTCAGAGAGGCTAAACAGGAGATCGATCCCCGTCTCGCTGAGATGACCCGCTACGGCGGTGGTGGTGGCGGCGGTCGCTACGGCGGCTGGGGCCGTGGCCGTGGTGGTGGCCGTGGCGGCGGTGGCGGTAGTACGTGTTTTCCTTCCAAAGTCTAGTGGCCTAATCGCTGACCGGACTTTCTTTACAGACAACGCTAACAACGCTCCCCTAGGAGGTGCTCGTCGTTGGTAGGAACCTTGCCAATTGGATCATTCCAAAGGCAAGGTAACTCATCATCCAAGCGGCGGCAACTTGCGCAATTCTCATGCAAAATCGGCGTTCACGTAGACGGGGGTTTTAGACTCAAGTACCCGGGACACGTATTTGTGTCTCGTTCAGTCTGGTATTTTTCCACGGCTATTTTCTTTTTTCCTTGAGTGCTTTCTTTTATTTGCCCAAGTCGGATTGGGGCCTGTGTGCGATATTTTCTTCAGGCATGGTCAAACGTGGATCAGGTTGAACAAAAAGTTAAGATGGAACGAGGATGACACGATGAACGGTGTCGTGGACTGCAATAGAGACCCTAATTAGGTCCAGTCAATTAAGATGCCCTTCCACGAGCAAGAATGGATGGCTCGAGTCGAAAGCTCGACAGGCGGCTTAGGTGTTAGATGACTGTGTATATCAGACACGGCCCTGCCGAGGGCGGCTTACTGCTCAGGTAGTAATAGGAAGATCATCTCATGACAAGTTGAACATATCGTGCTCTCTCATTTCACGTCGCACGTGATCATTGGAAGTGGGTCTTCTTATCAGCCGGCTGTCCCCTTCTCATGATTATATGGTGCAGGTTGATGCCTGGTGCTAGGTGAAGTTGTAGCAGTAGTGTTGAATGTGGTCGCGGGCCGGGAGAATCAATCCCAACAACATAAACCACCGTCCTTCACTCTTGCTATGTGTGAGCCTCTGGCACCTTCGGATTGGTGTAGATACTTGCCCTCCTTCGCATCCTCATTGGATATATGCTGGAAAGAGTGATATCAATCTCTTCTCTAGTGGGCAACACGAGAGTCGGAATCGCCTCCCGGGGCTACTAGGATTCATCAGAATGAGACGAGGAAGCTAGGCAGCAAGCTAAAGTGGGCCCATCCCCAACTCGTGGCCCTCATCGTCTCGCGAGAACGCGGGTAGAACCGGTATCATCATTACAACAGACTCCAAGTCTTCAGGGCTTTTCAACCTCGCTGAATTTTTTTTTTATCCCTCAATTCAAAATTGAGTGCTCGCATCCCCTCCCCCTCCCTCGCTCGCCATCACAACGATGACTCTCCATTACAACCACATCTCATGGTCTGCCCAAGCCCAAGGCCCAGTCCACGCCAGACAAAGGTCGAGAACAGAAGGGATGGGGCCAGTAGTTTCGTTGGATCCTCTTACGACAGTGACATGCTATTAATTTTCAACCTGTTTGTCAGCCGAGGAGAAGACAGAGATTGCGAAAGCAAGAGATTCCAGGAAATGGTGTTCCGTTTGGCGTCCACTATGCCCTCATCATTTGGATTGGGGTGTCTGTGTGTGGGTTTCCATACCGGGACCTCGTTCATATGTGGCAGCTCGATTAATGAATAGGAGAAAAAGAAAGGTACGAGAAACTGATAGGCAAGTGGTTGAACTACCTGGGTATATAT